AATAAATATTTAAATAAAGCGGCCGACTGCTTGGCGCGTCACCGTTGCATTGTGGGAAATGTAGTTTTGGTGCGTGTAAAAGATCTGCGGGCTCTCGGCTTGCTGCGGTCCGCGGGCCGGATCTAATAATAAATCAATATCATCCCAGGGGCCACTGAAAACATTCTCGCGGGCCGGATTTGGCCCGCGGGCCGGCACTTTGACATATGTGACTTACAGTATATAGCATGGGGTCGCCACCCTTTGTGAAATGGAGAGCTACTTCTTGGGTACTGATTAACGCAAAGTGCTACCAATTTGATATGCACTTATTAAATAAATGTGCTCGATTGTTTTTTTTTTTTAATAATGTGATTATTGTATGTGATTATATTCATTTACATGAAGATACTGATCATATTAATTATTTCTCACAATAATTAGGAAACAAATCATGTCAATCAAGACAACACTGTATTACTTCGACAACATTCCAAGAAAATCACCTTGTCCCATCACTGTTGAGCTACAAAAGGCCAGTGGGCGACTTATGTGGTTCTTGGGGCCTACATGGTGCCCGCGGGCACCACGTTGGTGACCCCCTGCTCTATAGGCTAGACAGAAAAACAGCACCGCATTATTCTTTCTTACCTTCCACTGCGGCCTTTTTTAAACATACAATGTCATGGCAGTTGTTGCGCTGCCTTCACGCTCTCCTTGCATGCCTGCATGTATGTGATCCCGCTTACTGTATGGCATGCAACACATAAGAATATACCCAAAAAACACTATAAGGATGATGAGACTTTATAACTACCAGGTGCATCCGTTTTGTAACGCAAGCGCGACTCTGAATGAAAGAAAGCTTAATGCAGAATCCCCATTTCATTTCTCGCAACCTTACACTTGCAGGCTCAAAGAGACACCGTACGCAACGAGTGGCAGAAGTTCCTCCACTTGTGCATTTGTCAGGAGACACACCTGGATAATTTGGAGCAGTACAAAAAGGTAATGATGGGGAAATGACTCACCAGACTTGTATAATGTATCCACCTGGACACACCTTCCTGTGTCTTTGACACAAACTTACTGTTTACCACATTACCATGCAGTACCAACTGGACACCGAACAACTGTCAGAGAATCTGAGCAAACTCAACCATAGCTTGGACCCAAAGATTGCCAGCAGGATGAGCAACTCGGAGATGCTGCTGCAGCTTGAGGTATGAAAGATGATGCTTCAATAGTCTTATGTCACAGCCCCAGAATATAAACAAGCTGACAGCCCTGTGGACAAGTGCAGTGTTTCTCAATCTTTATTATGAGCGAAGGCACACACATTTCACATGAGAAAAATTGTCTATAAGTGGGAGTGTGAATGGTTGTCTGCGTTATATGTGCCCTGTGATTAAATGGCGACTAGTCCAAGGTGTATCTCAGCTCTCTAAGGACAGCTGGTAGAAACAAACGGTCACTCGTGACCCTCATGAGGACAAGTGATGGAGAGCATTGATGTATTCAACATATTAAAAGTAATTCTTAGAGTCCTACACTACACTGCAATATAGCAATTCACATTCAATATCTATCTAATAAATTAAACAAAATCATACTCACCAGAGGTGCTTATTATTTTATAGACAAAATCCATCCTTTGTTAGCACGGTTGGATAATATAAATCCTTTGACTGTGTTGAAAACAAGCCAGCCAGCGACAGTGTTGTCCGACCTGTCCTCACAATGTCCACTTTTGCTTGAGAAGCCCGCCTTGAAAATAAATTTTTGATCATGTCTGACATTCTTCCTCTTCTGCTCAGTAAACTGTTTGTAAAGTAATTAAAACAATCAGAGAACGGGAAAATGTTCTTCCCTTTCTATACCCATATACCAGTCAATCTTCATTTACGGATATTGTACATGATGTACCTTGTAGTAATTGCAAGATGACTTGTGAAACTCGTTTCCAATTTGTGTGTGTGTGTATGTGTGTGTGTGCGTGCGTGCATGCGTGCGTGCGTGCGTGTGTGTTTTTCCCACCAGGCGGAAGAAAAAGCTGTGCAGGACAGTGAGCAGCTGCTGGCAGACCTGAGAAGACGCAGTACCAGCATTGCTCCTCTGAAGTATCGTCGTACTCCTCCAAACAGATCGGTCACATTGGAGTCCCTCTGTGATTGGGAGTCTACCAGGGTAGAGCATTTTTGAGTAACTCCTAAGTGTTATCAGGCAGAAAAGGCAAGGAAATGTCATACAAGTGGCAGGATATCGACTGTTATGTTTTTACTAATTTGGAAGGGAAAGCTGTCGTTACAATCCACTTTTTAGGGTTAAACACGTAAACACAATGAACACATTTAGGTAGGAGCCCAGACACTCGGTTTGAATCAACTGGCCTACGTCACACGCCGGGGCACTTTTCTTTCGCCACATATACTACATTACATACAATATATTTCATAAATTTGATGCTTGAAATTGTTTTGTGTTGAAATGCGTTTACGTGTTTCAGAAAATTGTTATTTCAATCAGTTCAAATGTGTCTAAAGGGTACAGTGATATTTAAAAAAAGATGTTCTCTCTCTATTGTGGATTTCCACCATTGATGGATGAGTCCAAAGGGCATCCTCTGCAATGAATGGGGTTTCACAGTATTCATCTTTCCTCATCTAGGGACCTCTGTCAAGAGGCGAGAAGTGCACCTTGAAATCTAACCCCGACAATGAAAACTGGGACGTTATAACCAACAAAGGGGTCACTAACACCTTCCCAGGGGTATGCTTCATGATCCCACCACCTGATCCAGAGGCCATCAACAAAGTGGACCTGTAAGTAACGGCACATTCACAAAAATATGTCAGTCAGTAATGTAGTCAACCTACAAATGCAACAAATTCTTGAACTGACTAGTTTGGGTGGTGAACTGGGAGACATAAAGAAGAGGAGAGGCGCTCTTGCAGCATCGCTCAAGAATCACAAGTCAGAGATGGCCAGATCCCTGCAGTCAGGTCACTGTCAAACCAAATATTGTATCTTGATCCCGCCTGCTGCTCACTTTTGTAATAAATGAACTTCCCTATTTACCGGTTTAGCACCAGTGTCGACTCCCACGTTGGATCCCAGATTGGCAGCGCTTGGACTCCGGTTGGACAAACTGAATGCCGACCTGGACAATGCTGATAAGGACACGCTGAACCGCATGCGATCCCCACTCAGCCGCTCCAATCCCACTGGAGATCTGGTCAACAGGATGAAGGAACAGGAAGTAAGGAACTTGAGCAGAGGGCGAACATATACCTGTTACATTAACAACCAATTCATAGTAAAATCAAACAATACGGCATATACACAAAATACCCTGGCCAAATTTTGAGCCCAGGTGGATTTTTATTTGGTGTAGACAAAAGAGTACACGACCTTTTACATTTTGACCTATGGTTCCATATTATATCTAATGTTCTAAATGTGTAGTTGTTTAGAATGCTTTTGAATCCAGATCATATTACACGTTAGCAGGACCATTTAGAAGGGCGTCTAAGATTTGTCACATGAATATTTTGAATTCTATTAGTTTAGGCTTAAAAATGTGTCTTCCTTTTTTTTTCTCAAATTCAGCAAGCTGCCAGGGCACTAAAAGGTCTGGAGCAGGAGAAACTTGCGGCTAAGGCTGACCTGCAGCCTCTCCTGTCCAAAGATCCTAATGCTTCCTTTGCCCTGCCACTCAAACTGAACAATGCCGAAAACAAGTATGATGGCCTCTCTGCACTTGCTGACCTCTATGCCAAAAAGTAAGTAATGTTTTCTTTGGATGATGACCGAGGAATAAAATTCCTTTCTCTAAGTAATTATTATTATTAATTTTACGAAAAAATAGTAAATCATTAGCAGTACTGTTGTTGTTCTTTTTAAACGTTGGGTGTTTCTTTTCTTTCAGGACAAATGCATCCCTCAACCTCGAGAATCAGATTAGGAAGGTGGATGGCATCATCTCAGGGTTTGAAAAGAGGCTCAGTGAAGATGGCCCAATACTCGATGTGCCAAACTCGATTCAAACTGCCAATGAGAGCCTTCATGTAAGGAAGGAACAACACTTTCCTTTTAAACCACCCAAAATGGCGTCAGTGTCGAAAAACGTCCTTTTCATTTCTTCCCCATTTTAGCAACAGCGAAAGGCTGTGGCATCGGCTCAGCCCGAGATGAGGAAGCTAAGTCAGGACCTGGAGGCCACTGAGCAGCTCTGCAGCTCTCTGCAGCAGGGATACCAGGAGTTTTGTCCCGACATCCAACGGCAGAGATGGGAGGTCAAACAGCTGCACAACCGCTATGCAAACCTTGACAACCAGCTGAAGGAGAGGTAAAAATCCCACCAGACACATGCAGTCCGATATAAAAAGTACCACGACAAACAATACAGTGCTTTAACGATCGACACATCTTTTCAGAGAGAACATCTTACAAGACGCTGGTGCCAAAAACCAAGAATTCCAAAGCTCAGCCAAATCCCTGAACTTTTTCCTGAACAACCTGCCAAGAAACAAGATCAACTACAGTGATGATGTGTCTTCGGTCGCCGCTATGCAGAGCTCGCAGGAGGTGAGAGGACTCTCTAATCATGACCCTTTTGTTTATTATTTTATCTACTCCTGGTTCTGCCTTTCTGCTTTGTTTATTTTGATGAATCTTATTAAATTTTAACTCGTTCAGGGGAAAGCACTGTGATCAAATAGCACCCCTGCCTCATGGTTCTGAGGTTCGGGGTTAGAATCTTCACCCTGGTCTACCTGTGTGGAGCTTGCGCGTGTTTTTCTGTGGGTGTTCTGGTTTCTTCCCACGTTGCAAAAAATAATAAATTAATTAATAACGATTCTGAATTGTCTACATAGGCATTAATATGACTGTAAATGATTGTCTGTCTATATGTGCCCTACGATTGACTGGCAAGGTGTATTCCGCCTCTCGCCCAAAGTCAGCCAGTTTCGGCTGAACTTGTGACCCTAATGAGGACAGGTAGGATGGAAAATGTATGGATGGAACTTATTTAGGTTGCTGTTTGAAACCTTTGCTTAAGTGCCCTGCTTTTACACTCCCTAACCAATTATAATGTGACAGAATGTTAACACTAACTGACACTTGACTGCAGAGGGTGATGGATGACCTGAAGCGGAAAGGCAATGAAGTGGACAGACTGTCCGACTTGTCTCAAGACCTGCAGAATCTACTTGCTGTAAGACATAACATGCCATGTTCAAAACAATCTAGTTGTAAAATACATGCATTTGAATTTAAGGCACAATAATATTAATAGACCAACCTCTCGAAATGCAGGAGTATGATGCCAACATCGGCAAATTCAACAGTACGCTGGAAGATGCAGGTGTCACTGTTGCAAAGCGACCGTATACGCTCACACTTGCGGAAGCTGTTCAGAAAGAGGTATCACAAGTTTAACCAACATCCTGTTGGTAATATTCACCATTTACTTGAACATTGCAGAGGCTACCCTGTCTCTTTCTGTGACAGGAAAGGGATCTGGTTAACCGCTACGCCGAGGCGTCAGCTGAAAATGGTCAGCGGCAAAAACAGTTGGGTTTGGCCCGGAATCTCATTGCACAAGTAAGAGGGCGGACCATGAGAAAGGCAGTAATACCACAAAACAAAGCGTTGTATGTTTTATTGACACATTGTCATTTCCTTTGATGTAGAATGATGAGAAAGTCCAGCTGCTGGCACAACATCAGGTGCAGCTGGAAAGCCAGCAAAGGAGTGCTTTTGAGTTAAACAGTCTTACCAGGGAGCTGGAGGAAGAGAGGGAGAGGACACTTCACATTGAGGCTAATCTAAAAGCCTTCAGAGATAGGCTCATGTCACTGAAGAATCGCAGAGGAGTAGAACGTGTTGAGGAAAAAGAAGTGCTTCAGTACTACCGTGACCCAAAACTGGAGGCTGACTTAATCGAACTTCAGAAGACACTTCATGAAGAGATACGGAGACGGACCACCATCCACAGTGAGATTGACATTTATAACAAGAAATTTGGTCTCTTTGAGGACAACCTCAAAAACACCGCGCCAAAACTGTTGACGAGAGAAGTGACCGAGTTTGAGAAAGACCCTCAGCTAGATGTCGATGCTGCCAAGCTGAGAGATGAAATATCAAGAATAAGAGATGAGATTCGACTGAGAAACTCGGAGTACATACAGATAAAAACGGAGTTTGAGATTCTCCAACAGAAGAAACCACTCATCAAAGAGAGGGTGGTTAAGAAGGAAGTGGTGAAAGTAGAAAAAGACCCAGAAATGTTGAGATCCGTGCGGAAATTCGACACCGAAATTTCTGAGGAGACGAGCAGGGTTAAAATCATAAATGATGAAATATTTCAAATGAGAAGCCAAATTAATGCCCTGGAAAGACTGATTGTAAACATCCAGCCCAAGATCATCACAAAGGAAGTCAAAAAGATTGAACAAGACCCCGAACTCATCACAGAATCCAAGAGGATTCGAACATCGGTGGAGAGTGAGATGATCGAAAACAACTCTTTGTCCAAAGAGTTGATGGAACTTCACAGTCGCTACAGGGAAATTCAGGCTCTGAAACCAAAAGTTGAGGTGAAGGAAATTGTTAATGAGATTTACCGGATCGATCCAAATACAGAGGTAGAAATTTTACGCCTCAGGAAAGACATACAAGAGGCCAATGCGCAGCGTTCCATCATGGATAGGGATATCACAAAGGTAGGCTCAGAGGTGAATTTTCTTCGTTCACAAAAGCCCAAGGTAGAAATGAAAGAAGTTCTTCAAGAGGTGGTGAAGGAAGAAAGAAGCCCTGAAAATGAGAGAGAGATTCTAAGGTTAAATGAGCAGATTAACTTCATCCACAACAATTACAACTTTCTCCAAGATCAAGTGAGGACACTCAAGAAAGAGAGAGACGGCTGGAAGGCTGAAAAGTCTAAGATCGAGACCAAAGTCCTCACTAGAGACGTCATTAAGTATGAACCGGATCCGCTCTTGGAGAAAGAAGCTGACCGTCTGAGAAGAGATTTGAGGGACGAGGCCCAAAGGCGCCGTTCTATTGAGGAGCTGGTGTTTGACCTGAAAAACAAATACATCCTGTTGGAAAGACAAAAACCAGAGGAAAAAGTGGTTGTGCAGGAGGTTGTGCGTTTGCAGAAGGACCCGCGGCAAGTGCTTGAGCATGAGAGGCTGAGTAGAAGCCTGGATGAAGAAGTGATGACTCGACGTCAAATCGATTTAGAGCTGCAGCAGCTCAGAACCAAGGTGGAAGAGAAGGAGCGGCTCCTCAGAGCAAGTGATGAGCATCAAAAGAGGATCATAGCAGAGTCTGAACTCAAGGAAATCAGGTTGCGTATCCACCAACTTGAACATGCGCCGCCTGCTGTCTCAGAAAATATTGTTGTTGAGGAGGTACTGAAAGTGGAGAGAGACCCCAAACTGGACAGGTTGATTAATGGTCTGCGGGTCGATATGGATAAGGAAACCAGCGATATACTGCGTCTTCAGAGAGACATCCGTAACATCACTCTTAGGCTTGAGGTCCTCCAGAAAGAAAAGTCTATTGAGAAGAAAGTATACAAAGAAGTAGTCCGTGTTGAAAAAGACCAGGCTGTGGAAGCGGAGAGGGATCGCCTGAGGGAACAAGTTTCCAAGCAGAAATATACAAGGCAGGACATCGAGGATCAAATCAAACGCCTCAGTGCTAAAACAAACCATCTGATGACGAGCAAGTCCAGCAGCTCCAGAGAAGAAACTACCCTAACGATGAACAGAGACAGCTTGATGAGAGAGAAGGACAACCTGACTCGCGAGCTCCGGACACTGGAGACAAAGAAACACGACATTAGCATCTCTTTCGAGCAGCAGAGCAGACTCATGAGTGAGAGAACACAGATGAGCAGGCACAGAAGCATGAAGATGGGTTCTGACATACAGCAAATCGAAAGGGAAATCCTGAATGAAAAAGACAAGATCCATATCCGTGACAGCACCATTCGCGACCTCCTACTGAACCTGCAGAAAGAGGAACATACCGAAACCAGAACCAAGGAGACCAACATGTCAACTAAAATCACCATTCTGGATCCGGATACCGGCAGAGACATGTCTCCCTATGATGCCTACCTGCAGCGGCTAATCGATCGCCAACAGTACATTCATCTGCAGGAGCTTGAGTGTGACTGGGAAGAGACAACTTCTGTGGGACCCGATGGCGAGACATCGGTATTGCAGGATCGCAAGAGTGGCAATCAGTACTCCATTAAAGATGCCCTGAAGGAAGGCCGACTAACACAGATTGATTTGGATAGGTACAAACAAGGCAAACTCCACATCTCAGAGTTTGCCTTGCTCGTTGCTGGTGAAAGCAAGCCAAAGAACCAGTTCAACTCATTTGTCCCAAGGACCAACACAGCAGTGAAGTCAGCCCCAATTGACTTTGCTGCTGTACAGGCGTATCCAATTGCTGGGATCATGGACACACACACAGACACCTGCTTCAGCATACGCAGCGCTGCCATGCGTAAACTTATCGACGCCACCACAGCCCAAAAGCTTCTGGAGGCCCAGGCGGCAACCGGTGGCATCATTGACATCACCACCAAAGACAGACACTCAGTTCAGAAGGCAGCTTCCAGAGGCCTCATTGATGAAAGTCAGCTCCAGAGGCTCCTCAACGCTCAAAAGGCTTACACTGGAGTGGAAGACCCCGTCACCAAAGAGCGTCTGTCTGTGGGAGAGGCCATCCAGAAAGGATGGATGCCAAAGGAAAGTGCAACTTGGTACATGGAAGCGCAGCACCTGACTGGAGGGCTGGTTGATCCCAACAGCAACAAAAGAATCAGCATCGTGGATGCTATTGGATCCAAAGTGATCAACAGCGCCATGATGAGAGATCTTCAAGCTGAAACCAATTACAAGAAGGATATCACCGATCCCCTCACAAAGCAGAAGATCAACTACAAACAGGCCCTGGAACGCTGTAAAAGAGACCACAAGTCCGGCCTTCTCATGTTGCCAGCCTCCTCCAAAGAGTCTGGATACACTCCAGCATTCAACAGATATGCGAGATTCTAAATGTGTTTACAGCTTAGAGTTATATGCTTTGTGAAGTAATAGATTAAAAAAATGTGCCTATACATTTGGGATATTATACGAACATAAATAGTGCATATAATGTGTCTTTTTTAATCTGGCAAGCTTTCTATCAACCCCTCCACCCCGCCCCCTTCCAAAAAAAACACTGCCAAATTGCCTTTGTTTACCAAACATGCCAGATGTGGGCAGATGTTATTATGATTTAAATAAAACAATGTTGCAAATGAAGTATCTACCTGATAATACTACTGTGGAATACTGGGACATGGTGCAATGCTAATTACCAAGATTATTATGATTATGTAGTACTTGTGGGCTATCCTTGATACTGTTCACTTTTAACTCTGTTTGATACTTTATGAAGAAACATCAATAAATTTAAATTATAATGTCTCTTGTGTAGTCTTTTAAATAAACCACACATACAGATAAAACAGACAGATCCCATGCTTAGAACATCAATGGAGTCATCACAGATCAAACAAGATGACAGGACAACTAGTGCTACAACAATTTAAATGTCCAAATTGTCAGCAATCCACGAGCAAGTTCAAGATCCAGTTGCATCTGCATCCTGCACTGCAGCACCCTCCAGATGGCTCTGCCTTTCCCTGAAGAAGCTCCTCTGCTCATTGATGACTTTTTGTAGAAGGGCAATGTTTACACCATCCACACAGTTGAGGACACGTGCACAGACCCTCACCCCGTCAACTCCTGCCAAACAACAAGGTGTTTGATTATTAACAAAACAAACAACACAAAAAGGACACTGTCATCTTCAAAATTAAATAATGTTTGCGACTTAAGAAGACAACATTGGATAGTGTTTCCTTACCCTGAGCTGTTTCTATTTCACCCAGAACTATATACTGGGCTCCAATTATGGGATTAAATGGTTCCACAAACGAGGTATTGATGACAACATGGTGCTCTTTGGAAGCATGCTGAGTTGTTAGTGAAGCTCGGGACTTCTCCGGCTCATATTGCGTGAGTCTAGAAAAATGGGCAAAGTTTGTTTTGCTCATCCAGCAGTATATATTGTAAATTAAGTCCCATATATCCTGTCAGAGTTCATCTCGTTGCAAAGGTGAGTATAGTTATTTTGTTTTATTCAACTAATTAGCACTATGCAAGTTAATAAAAGAGGTTAACTATTTTGTGTGTTGAGCAGGGGTCACCAACGTGGTGCTTGTGGGCACCACGTAGCCTGTGAGGACCACACCAATAGCCCGTCACTGCTAGGATTGTGATTTGCTAGTATAAATTATGATTTAAAAATGCAAACACTGGCAGTATTGTGAGACATCGTTCAGATTACCAGAGCCTGAAAAACCATTAAGTATTAAAAATAACACATTCTAATATTATTAAATGCAATTTGTACAAATGTTATTTCAGACGTGTATCAATTTGGTCGCCCTTCACACAATCAGGACACATGAAGTAGCTCTCACTCTCAAAAAGGTTGGTGACCCCTGGTGTAGAGAGTTTCTTTTGTTGTGAAAACTGTTACTGTATGTAATGAATTACTTTTGTACTTGGGGACATCTAAGAGCAATAAAGGCCATGAAACAATTTGCGAAACAGTAAATATCTCAAGTGAGTTATTAGCCCACCTGCCAAATGTTCGCACAGACTCTCCATCTTGCAACGCTCCAGAGTTCACTTCCCAAGGGAAATAATACACCGCAACAGCTGGAAGCATCGCTTCTTGTGGTGATAGACGACGACGCGTTCCACGTTACGTACAAAATTCGGGGTACGTCGGATAACCCTCCTGTTGCAGAGATTGTTGACGCGTTGAAGTGAAAGTGGGTATGACCCAAGGAAAAAAAAAAACTTTACTTCCGGGTGTGTATCACGTGACCCAACGTCACCCACCACTCCAAACGGTGAACAAATCATTTGCGTTCAGGACTAAACCACGCAAACACGGGTCGCTGGCATTCTATTTTTCTCTGTTTAATTCGTTTTGAGGTCCAACATGAATCCTGACATACTGAATGAGAGGCAGAAGGCAACCTTTGACGTCGAGAAACTCACCAACATTTTGAACGGAGGCCCCGAGAAGACCAAGAGAAGAAGAGAAATTGGTAACTTGCCGCAAGTGTGTTCTGACAGGTCATTTTGGACATTGAACTCTATCCTACTTTCAATCTATAACCCGTATCCTACAGTTTCTAAAATTGTCGTCGAGGAATATTAAATCATTGTGACAAGTTTAACGAGGCACAAGTTAAGCGGCTATGACGTTAGCTAGCAGCTTGTTATGTTTAATATTAATCGATGTTGCGTTGATTTGATTCAACGTTAGGTCTCTGTATGTATCTTCTCTTAGAAATTCATTGCGCGCCTCATTGTTTGTCTGTCTTTGTGTAAATAGCGTGTGCGTTGGAGCGAAAACTGTCAACACACTAGTCCAGTGTTTCCTGAGCCAAGGAGCATATTTTAAAATAGACAAAATGTCATGGTATACTACTAAACAAATGCCATGTGAAGTGGTTGCACAGGTTAATTATACACCTTTTGACGTCCTGTGCAAGAGAATGTAATCGTTATGCTTGTTACTGCACACCACTGGGACAGATACAGTAAATGTTTTTTTTTTTTTTTTTACATATTAGGTAAAATTATTACCATAGCGCACAGCTGATCTCTTACCCCACACCGCAATAATATGCCATGGCACAGTGGTTGGGAATCACATCACTAGTCAGCAAACTGCTCTTGACAAGTTTGTCCAAGTCCTACTTTGCGCAAATCACTTGCGCATAGAGGCTATTTAGAACATTTGAATGAAATAATTTAAGGTCTGACATGGTCACAAAGATGAGCTGTTTAGCTCCAGAGTGACTGACACCACCCTGCATTGTAGTCATGCCCAGTTGGACAACTAATTTAGGTTGATCAGTAATGAATTCCAGCCTACTTCAGTGGTTGTCTGTGAAGCTTCTTTATCCTCATGCTATGTAGAAATGCAGAGCAACTGAGCATGTTCATCACTTGAGATTATCTTAAACAATAAATGATTAATGTGGCGGGGGGGGGGGCATGGATTGTATCACCTCTCCATTCACCCAGTGGACTAGACTGTTTGACCAAGCAGTACAGGTCCTGGTGCAGTTTGTAAGTTAGTTTTTCTGTAGGTTACTGGTACGGTATAGACTGATACACAGCCAGAGTAGGAACCAATTACTGCTCAATAAACTGTAAGAAACCTCCATGTGTTTATCGTGGAAGGGTGATGTTTCAGACTCACCTATGATGAGTGAAAAACTGCGATATAGAGACCACATAATAAACACGATAGCCTTATCCCTCCCACATGCTTTAAAACATAATTGTGCTTATTAAAACACATTTAAAAATGTTTGTTCACACCTGCTTCCACTCTCCAAAATAAGACACCAAGTGTGACCTTGCATCACACTGCATGTCTTCACCAGAACTCTCTGCTGCCTAACATGTTGCAACGCAACATTGTTGCCACACAACTCTAAACATTCAACATTGCCTGTGTAGCCTACTGCAAAAACAATCACAAATGATGTACTCAATATAGTGACGGTTCTCTATCTTGCTTCTTCATTTCCCCCTCTTTCCACTGCAGAGTCAATGGTCCTGAATGACCCAGACTTTAAGTACGAGGACCCAAACTTCCTGTCCCGTAGTGAGCGCTATGACCAAGCTGTTAGAAAGAGTGCCCAAATGATCCTCAAGCTGAGGGAGTATGGCATTGCGGACCCAGAGGAGATCTACTGCTATAAGAGGTATGTGATTACAAGTCTGAACGGATCACACACCCACAGAGTGATACATCTTACGACACTTCCTTTCTATTGCAAGGCAAAAACCCCTCGTTTAGTTGTTGTTTCGGAAAAGTGTCAAAGGGCCTTATGTAAATGCCCCGGGCATTGTAGTTTTGTATGGACAAATAAAGTTGGAGCAAAGTACATTAAGAGATTAAAACTATGTCAAAGGGTGCATGTGTTTTCCAGCTTGCAGGTGCATAGAATACAACTTAATATAGGAAACAACAATGTGAAGTATTTGCTTGTATATTTACTTTTCTAAAACCGAATCTATGAATTAATTATATTTCATTACACTTTTTAAACCGTAGTTGCTATGCATAGCCCTAACTCTATGCATAGTCCTAACTCTAAGAATTCAGTTTGAGTGACGACCACACTGTTTAGACCACTGGTTTTGAAAGTGTGGGACATTGATCCTGTCGTTAGAGAACATAAAACAGCTGGACCTTTCTTACTATGCCAGCCAAGCCCCCGTTAAGTTGTCCAGAAGCTGTTTTTATACCGTGCAGCCACCCTGAAATGTCCTTCTTCGTAAGACACCAGCAAAAAAAAAAAAAAAAAGTCACACATTATTGCCTCTTGTCCAATGTAGTCCTTGTACTGCTCAAATATGTTTTTTGATAGAAGGTAATATTACAAGTAATGTAAAAATCCTGTCATTTCCAGAATTTAATTCAGGGTTCATACATTATCTACCAACTTACCTACCTTCACATTAGTTCCTTCAAATCAGTTAATAATTGTGTACCTTCCATTCACTCAGAATGTTTCGAGGCAACTTTCAGGAGGCAATGGGGCTACACTTTGTCATGTTCATCCCAACCCTCTATGGCCAATGTGACCCTGAGCAGTCCAAGAAATGGTTACCTCTAGCAGAGTCCTACCAGGTCCTGGGCACGTATGCTCAAACTGAGCTAGGTCACGGTCAGTTCTTGAGTGCACCTTTTATATTCTTTTTGGGAGATAATTAAAAATTGTTATATTTACATTTGCATTTTTGGCCAGTGAAAACAGGCCCATTTGAAGCGTGAACATGACAATGTTTACTTGTACAGTATGTGTTTGACAGATCAATATTCAAATGCAGATTGAATATTTTTTCCTAATACCGATAATAGTAATTTCATTTGTAGGTTTAAGTACCAGTGACTATGAGTCCTGTATTTTTGTGATTAGCTACCTTCCAGAATGAACCGTCTCTTCCACACATACATTTTAAAAGTACCTATTGCTTGACTCAGTAAGCGTCATGTAGAAGGAAATAGTGAAAACACAAGTTGTCAGTCATTTCAAAAGTCCCCTTGGAATTGAATCTTCCTCAAGCCAGCAGTCACCTTCTCAGGCGGGTCTTAGGTCAACCGTTGTTGGTGCAACTCCAACAATTGGTTGTTTCTCGCTAAACTACAAATAACAATTTCGTTTCCTTTGACACATGCAACTTAGGTGGCTACCTGACCGCTGTTTATCAATAAAAACAAATTATTATTGCGTGACACAAAACCCCAATTGAATCTTCCTCACGCCAGCAGTCAGCTTCTCAGGCGGGTCTTAGGTCAACCGTTGGTGCAACTCCAACAATTGATTGTTTCTCGCTAAACTACAAATAACAATTTCCTTTCCTTTGACACATGCAACTTAGAAGGCTACCTGACCGCTGTTTATAAATAAAAACAAATTATTATTGCGTGACACAAAACCCATTTTGCCATTTCATCGGGCAAATGTGTTTAAAAAGTGAATGTCTGGAAGTTAAGATTGAGGTTAATAATTACTGAAATTTAGCCCGTACAGGACCATTGGTTGTTTTGTTTAGTGTGCAGCTTGCATTAATTTAATTCCCCATTCAATACCGTTATGTGAATGTACTGGTATTGGTTTGCTGACATTTGAAGGCTTTTGCCTGAGAACTGGGCATATACTACAAATGAAACCTAAATTCATCCCTAAGTCTAAGGCTGCAAATTTACTGTTGAATTTGGTCCGATGTCAATTTGCGAAGTACAGTAAAAAGAAACTCTTGAGCAAGGTTTATATTTGGTTATTTTAGCTTTGTCTTTAACTTGTGGGCTAACTGGAGCAAGACAAGTCAAGTGGCTTTCAACTCCTTATCCCTTTTCATTCTGAACGGCTGAGAAACCTGCTCAGAAGAAAGTAGGTCAAGTTATTGTTTGTATAGTTGGCAAAAGTACTGCAGGAATTATAAATACATTCTTGTTCTCCTTTCTCTCTGGTCTGGAACCAAATTATATCCAGACCTGCACTGGGCCAGGGCCGGGCGTTTAGGCACACCAAGTACAGTATAAGAACATGGATGTTAACGGCTCGTAACGAGTTTGAGTTGTTGCTTTCAACTCCTTATCCCTTTTCATTCTGAACGGCTGAGAAACCTGCTCAGAAGAAAGTAGGTCAAGTTATTGTTTGTTGTTGCCGAGTGAATGTGCATTTTCCAATGGTGTTTCACAGAGTGACTCCACAGACATTGAACTAATTGATGTTTTAGAACCTTTGTTACATTTGGAATCATCATGGATCATGCAGAATTTGCCCATCAGCACTGTAACAGAAGGTTTTATCTACCTTTGACTTTTCCAGTAAAATAGGTTACTGCTGAAACCCTGTGCGTTATCACAAAGTGACACACTGCATCTAGGAATCACATTACTGTACTAGGCAAGTGACATCAGCATGCGACAGGATCTGGAAAATTAAATACCTATTTGGATTTGCATTCAGCACAACCGGACGGGAGAAGTGTGACACTTCACACCCCTTCAGCATTGCTTATTCCTCTTCTCTGTGTCAACTGGCGCTTCAACACAAATTATGCAAAAATGATTGTAATATTTCTTTTGTTTTTTTAATCTGCACGTCGAGATCAAAATCTGAATAAATTATTTGGTCGCTCTTCTTTCTTCATGGCTAAGCAGTATAGAAAGTGATTGCACTTTCTATACTGCTTATCCATGTTTATTTTAATTCCTCCATGCATTTGTCCTTCAGTTGGCTTCCACTCTCCATAATTTGTCCCCTCTCAAAAATGCTTGTGTGTTGTCCACTCCTTATCTTTGCCTCAAAAAATTACCACCTGGTTTCCTATTCCACTGGCCTCTGCCTTCTGTGGTTTAGCTGCGTGCACCCAGGCAGGCCCGAGCCTTTCGATCTGCATCTCGGAATGTTCCTGCCCACACTGCTCAACCAGGCCACTCCAGAACAAATGGACCGCTTCTTCATGCCCGCCTGGAACCTAGAGATCATCGGCACCTACGCTCAGACTGAGATGGGCCACGGTAAAATACTTAATAGTATGGCCCAAAGTCCAGCTTCTGGTTTGAGGCAAGCTGTGTTAAGGAGTAAAAAATGTAGCGTGCTTTTATAATGGCCGTTATGATTTCCAAATGTCTGGGTTGCTAATGGTGGTGTTTATGTTTGACGCATGCTAGTTCAAAGTTCAATTCACGAATTTTAAACTCAAGTAGTTCAGTTCATAATTCCTAATTCAAAATTTTTAATTATGCTCAACATTTTCAAAATTAACTCATACATTGGTGTTTTCTTTTATTAAACAATATGTTGCTGCGATCTATTACCCTCAAATTACTTGCTTTTCTCCATTTTTGCCACCCATTCAGTCCACACTACAGGTGACAGCTACAATCTCATGAGGAGAAACTTGTTGCTTGAATTTTAAAACAGGTGTGTAGCCCTCAATTTGCAAGCACAAATAGAATAATAGTAAGAACGAGGCTGAGGTAGGAAATGAGCTATCACAAACTCCCCCCCCCCCCCTCATTTTCGGCTAAACATAAAACAATGACCCACCTGCGACTTCCTGCGACCCCTCCCTTCCCGCCTACCTCGTGGATTCCAAAGGGTAAACACCTAGTCTAATGCCCACCAGGGACTTAAAAAAAAATTACTTGCATTACTACCGGTATTTGTCACCAGCCAATACAGATTTCCCCTCGTGAGCTAACTACCACGTGCTCTTCCACCATCCCCACCCCTGCTGCCATCATGCTTTGCATTATGATGACACATGCAACCGTGCGAGCCTTCGTGGCTTGCCAAATAGTGTTTATCCTCCCTACATATGAAGGCTCATTTACCGTGACTTCAGATGGGTTTTCTCCCAGAAGGCTTTCCAACACTCAAACCCATCAAAATTTACTTGAGGTAATTCTCCAACATATTTTAGTTTTGGTGGGTTGTTCAGACTGGAAAATTATTAGGTAATGCACGTTACTATATGCTTTACAAAGGATTTAGCATAAACTAGAGTTGTTAACATGTATTTGGATCTGTCAAACATTTACAAGATGCACTGCTTTCTTCCTCTATTGCAATGGAACATTTTCAGTAGTTCTCAAAGGGAGGGCATATTCCAGTGCTCTAATTGTATACAGTATATTTACCGAATGAATTACCAAGTGACTTTATGGCAACTCTCATATGGGCTTGTTTTCGACCAAGATGCTTTCTGCATTTTCTTATTACGCTGGGTGTTGTTAGTTTATTCTGCTAAGTTGACATTGTTTGATTTCATTTCATATGTTAATTGTGTTTATGTAACTGTGTGTTTCTGGTGGTATTTGCTTTATGCCTTTCCTGCAGGCACACATCTCAGAGGACTCGAGACCACTGCCACATATGACCCAAATACACGGGAGTTTATTCTAAACAGTCCGACTGTCAGCTCAATCAAATGGTGGCCTGGAGGTCGTAAGTACAAGTACACACCTTCAAAGACTACCCCGCCCCTCAAAAAAAGTTTTATTTTTGAGATGTCTGCATTGTTCTGAATCGTAGGTACTGATGTATTTTGAAACAGTATTGTTTAAAGCCTGAGATGAAACGCATAACAGACTTCATACAATCTCTGCTCTTTTATTATTCTAGTTGGGAAGACATCAAACCATGCAATTGTACTTGCCCAGCTCTATACTCAGGGAAGCTGCCACGGTCTGCATGCTTTCATTGTACCTATCCGTGACATGAACACACACAAACCACTACCAGGTAAGTATTATAACGTTTGTTCTATGTAAATGGTCATATCTGTTAATCTTTCTTATTGCACAGAAACAAACTCTTTTCTCATAGGTATTGTTGTTGGGGATATTGGACCCAAATTCGGTTTTAATGAAGTCGACAACGGCTTTTTGAAACTTGACCATGTGCGGATACCACGAGAGAACATGCTCATGAAATACGCTAAGGTCAGATGATCGACACAAATTGCACAGTCACAAGTACGGTAATTTCTCGTTGAAGCAGAGAGCTGCTTCAATGAATCGTATACATTAATTACAATGTGCCAACAGAAATGCATTGATTTTCTAAAGCTCTCTTTATTATTTCCCCAAACTTTATTATTTCTCTATCCATCCATCCATCCATCCATTTTCCGATCTGCTTATCCTCACAAGGGTCGCGGGGGTGCTGCAGCCTATCTACAAAACTTTTGTTGGCATATTTCAAATCGTGGCAGAATGCTTTCTTCACATAACACTAGAGTATCCAATTTTTATTGGAGAGGACTATTTGTACAAATCTGATTTCACATGTGTAAAATTTAGGATATTTACAACATTTATCTTTTTTTCCACAAGTTTAATTTAATTTAATTGAAATTTAACAGAATTTAATTGATGTATATATTGTGTCTTTATATTCTCTATCTCTCTACATTTACTTGAAAAATGGCAAACCAGTACATGTATTATGAAGTTAATATATTTGTACAAATGGTTAAAGATTGAGTTAAGAAGACAACCACTGTCTTAATTAATTTGGAAATGGCATCCAACAGACATGTCGGTATCAGATCTCATGAGACAATTACTGTACAACCACCGGATTTTTTTTCCCCCCCTGAAGGAGCATAATAGGAGGATTTTATTTGAGGTGAGGCTTTTATTTATCTCAAATGGAACATCAAAATGCTGAACAGTCCTTGTCTGTCCACTAGGTGGACCCAGACGGCACCTACGTCAAGCCACCCAGTGCTAAGCTGACTTACGGCACCATGGTTTTCATCCGTTCCATGATTGTAGGCGAGTCCGCTCGAGCCCTTGCAAAATCCAGCACCATCGCCATCCGCTACAGTGTGGTCCGCCACCAGTCTGAAATCCGGCCTGGGTCAGTCACCCCTGGCTTCACTGGAGTCACTTAAGCAAACAATTTGAATCATGCACAAACACAGGCCTGTATCGCCTTTTACATGTCCTTGTTCATGAAAACAAAGCAGACTGAAATTTGTTCCTGTCCTGCAGAGCCCCAGAACCTCAGATCCTTGACTACCAGACGCAGCAATACAAACTGTTCCCTGTGCTTGCTATGGCTTATGCCTTCACTTTTGTTGGCCAGTACATGAACGAAACATACCACCGCATCAGTGGAGACATCCACCAGGGGGACTTTAGTGAGCTGCCAGAGGTACCGATCGCAGATATAGTAACAGTCTATGTGTACACCTGATGCAGCAAAATATCAAGAAATGCTTGAGAATGATGTTTATTTGATGTCTGGACATTCACAATGTCTCCCGATGCATATAGTTTTGTTTGTTGTTTGCCCAATGAGCTGATTTCCACCCTTTGTGTTTTTCTTTTCACTTTTCTCCAATGTGTAGCTCCACGCTCTGTCTGCGGGTTTGAAGGCTTTCACCACGTGGGCAGCCAACTCTGCCATTGAGGTGTGCCGCATGTCGTGCGGTGGTCACGGCTACTCCCGCAGCAGTGCCTTGCCAGACATATATGTTGAGTTCACCCCAACTTGCACCTACGAGGGCGAGAACACAGTCATGATGCTGCAGACTGCGAGGTGTGTCACAAATGTACAGGCAGACGTGTTAGTTTCCAAAATTTAAGTCATCTGAGAGACTTCATGTAACTTTTGTAAGGACTGTTGTTTGAATTAGTAGTACAGGTAGTTGAAAAGAGCTCAACGGTGAACTCTTTCATGTCAGTTTGTGAACAATCGCATTTTATTTGAGATTATTACAGTTGCTACCATTTGTTCTGATGGGACTCTTAAACAATCTGCTGACCTTTTCAACAAATATGTGATGATCTACATTTTGTGCATACGTGCGTGCAGATACTTGATGAAAAGCTACAGGCAGGCTAGAGCTGGTGAGCAGCTGCATGGCATTGTGTCATACCTTAATGAAGCAGAGCATCAGAGAATCCAGCCACAGCTCGTCACCGCAAGAACAACTGGGCTCGATATCAATGACCTGTCCAGTCTGGTGGAGGTCTACAAGCTACGGGCCGCCACGTACGAGACAAGAACGATGGATTATCACAAACCAACAGCTGATTCGTCTCTGATATATGCAAATGATCCTTCTGTGTGTTTAGTCTGGTAGAGCTGGCAGCCAAGAGCATCCAGAAGGAGCTGCAGCACAACAAGAGACAAGAGGATGCCTGGAATAATAGTGCCATCGACCTGGTCCGGGCCTCTGATGTAAGACCATTTCATGTGTGACCAACGTTGTTTAGTTAATATGAATTTCAGCAGTACGTTTTATATTTCCATGCAATGTTAACAAGCTCCTCATTGTTCTGCTGTAATGAATTAATTCTGTTTATGGATAAGCTACACTGAATGCAGCAAAACATTCTTCCATGTTGACTATTGGTTTGTTCACCTGACTGTCTGACATCAAAGTCCATGTTGTCTTCTATTTGACCTCCTCCAGGCCCACTGTCACTATGTGGTAGTGAAGCTCTTTGCTGACAAGTTGGCAGGGATTGATGCTGCCTCCATACACTTGGTGCTTTTGACGCTTGCTCGCCTCTACGCCCTTCATGGCATCTCAAACAACTCTGGAGACTTCCTTCAGGTGCAAATCTATATGCCTACAATGGTGCCTTGAGATACAACTTTAATTTGTTCTGTGACCATGCTCGTAACAGAAAACACTCATCCCTAATCTTTTACCATTGGAATGAATGGCAATTTGTTCCAGCAATTCCCCCCAAGCAACAAAAATATATTGTAATATGGGTTTTAATGAGGGAAGGCTGTGGGACGGGGGGGGGGGGGGGGTATGCGAACCCACTGTGCATTTTTAAGTACCTCTCCTAACTGCATCTGGTCACTATGCTTAAACATCCAACAGACACCCCGCATAACAAATATAACATGCATGAATGATACCCGCAACACAAAAACTGGACTATGTTGTAGATAATAAATGTGAAGCCACATTTTTATGTACTGTCCTCCTGAAATACGCCAACATAACAATGAACCACAGAGCAAATGCTGTTAAGCTCCAATCAGTACGGCTCAAATATTAGTTGTTTTGTGGAGAGCATATAGAATATTAGACGGAGTACTGTTATTTTCTGTCTACATATGTTACTGTATCGATTGTGTTCAGTCCATTGTTTAAGGGTTAAAGTATTCAAACATAGACACTATCTATTATTTGCATTAAGCTTGCGGACTGAAAAGCTAAGCTATGTGGTTGTTTTTAAATACACAAGATGTCATTCCTTATGTTTTATGTTCAATTTGACATTAAATTTAACTGGGAGTGGCAATAAACAGCTTGAAGTCTATTTTTGAGGAATTGTTCGCTAAATGTATCTGCCAAACTGCTGCTTGTTGAAGTGAGTTGAGTCACTGCCGCCAAATGGCACATCTGCGCTTGCAAGTCAAAGCCAAAAGTGGGTTCCGCGATGGCTTGAGTCTCAAAACACTCTAAGTCATGTTGCTCATATCTCAAGGCGACACTGTAAAACAAAACTGCATTGGGTGGTTTTGATCCATGTGCACAGTTCGCATCTTTCTTCTGTCTTGTCACTTGTTAACTGTTCAGATTTTCTCACTGTCTGCAAATTGCCAGCTGTAATTGACTAATCCGACTACACATTTCCATCTGTTTTATCTCAGGCTGGACTGTTGAACGGGTCTCAGCTGCTGGAGATTACTACTCGTATCAAAGAGCTGCTTTCTGAGCTGAGGCCAAATGCTGTGGCGCTGGTCGATGCCTTTGATTTCCATGACAGGATGTTAAATTCAGTCCTGGGGCGATATGACGGGAATGTCTACGACCACCTGTTTGAATGGGCCCGGCGCTCACCGCTGAACTCTACAGAGGTCAGGAAATATCACTGGAAGGGATTAGAATGGTGACAAGTAATTGAAACCCCAGTTGCTCATCATTTCAATTAACGGTTGCATTCTCCGTTCTGCAGGTCCACGAGTCCTATCATAAGTATCTGGAGCCACTGAGGTCCAAGCTGTGAGATGAACCACAAATAATGATAGCGAGCATTTTTGCTTGTGAATAAGAAATGGACTAGTGCATCATTTCAAGCGTTTGCTCTCACCTCATTTAGATTCACTTGTGTCCTTAAGACGAAGTCCGTCTCTAAGACAATCAGGCGAAGAGAGGTTTTTGACTGTCTTATAAATGTGTTTTTTCAATAACTTGATTTAAAATAGTTTTAAATTACATAATTAGGAATTACAGATTGCTGTGCCACAAAAAATATCCACATTAGATGTATGTTTGTGAAACTTGAAAGTTATCTAATTATGTAATATGTCCTCAACTCCCATCCTCTCTGTTGTAGCCTGATGCCGCTCTTTTGTGTGCCAGTTAAGTTTTTCCTAACAAGAACAGAATGCAACGAGTAATATTACATAACAATCCCAACACCAACATCTCTTTTTGTTATTTGCCGTAGGCTACTGGTCTTCTTGTCATTGTTTTACAAGAAAGAATTATTGCGTTCCTCGTACATGCACATTAAATTCAGACATTTGATGTGCATCTTAGACTTGAAGCAAACTACAACAACTTCACCTCAGAAACTATTGCTCTTTTACTTCCTAAATTCTGTGTGTAATTTCTGGGGCTTTGAGGTTGGCACATTTTTTGTTGTGGCTCGGTGTTTTGGGGCCATCAAAATTATTTGGCCAGTGAGTCTACAATGCACACTAGCATGTATCATGACAACGAAAATGAGCATTACCACATTTTTGCTTGCGTGCATAGAAAGCCGAGCTCAATGTAGAATTAAAAGGTCTTGGAGAAGATGCAGATAGGGGCTTTGAGGAGAACCACTTCATAAATAAAAGGTCATGAGGTGTTCTGTTGTTGATGGGCTCTTTGCATATAATGACTCACGTTGCAGAAATGAAATTTGTTCTTTTTTTTCTGGGTTTAAAAAATGGCATTATTCTACAAGCTGGTAAAGGGACTTTTCCAAACTCACCACCACAGACGTACGGTACATTGTCTTTTTAACTGCTCATCAGTGATTTAGGTAAGTGATTTTTAGCTGTATTCCTCTTCTTCCATCCACAGATATTAAGGTGGAAGTCAATATTTTTTGGAACATCGTGGTTTCGCTAGACTTAGGTTGTCAATATGCTAATAAACAATCACGGTTAGTGATAGAATATGTCTGTGTATTGAATTGTGAGCGAACACATTTCTAGATATTTTAGCAGAAAATGTCTACCATTGTTTCTCTAAATATGTTTGTTTTTTTAAAAATGTCTTTTGTATTACTGTATATAAAACCTGACAGACATGAGGAGTGTCCAGACTATCTGCTTCATATCCATAAAGCAGCATGAAAATTCACCACAGTGTAAATGCAGCTCCGCTTGCTGCGATGGGGCTTTTTCCATGGTATTGTTTTGTTCCTTTTGGAATTAAGAAAAAGAAATCAATGTTTTGTAAGGATCATACTCAACTGTTTACTCGAGAATATGACGACGTGGCTGTTGTGGTTCGGTTGGTTTGGTGGCATGACGCTATGTGCAAAGAGTCCATTCTTTATTTCATGAGAAAATAAGCACATCTTTATTATGACATGGTGTAAACAGAAGATATGTCTAAAAGTGAGGAAATTCAATGGATTCACATCTTAGCCAAGATCGAATTTCAGGAGTTTTCTTTCCCCGTGTTAAATGATGCTACGATGTCCAAATTGATGTAAAAGTGATCCAAATGTTAATGAATAATTGCTTTTTAATTAATTATTTTTTTAAATGTTTTGTATCGACGAAATATAGTGAAATATATTCAATCTTAAGTCTTTAACGTAGATAACTTAAATCACTACAGGAATTCAGGATGTGCCTGTCTGCTTGAGGAATGTTCCTTCCCAAACTAAGATTGTTGGCTTCACAGGATAGTATTTTCTCTCTGTATTTACTGATGTATATGCTGTAAAGGCATGATAACAATTAGCCAAGATGTTTATTAACCATAATTGGTTGGATAATTGTTCGTTTTTATCAATACTGTATTGATATTTTGACATGTCAAAATAAATTTTCATGAAGCAGTGTGCATCTGTCCTTCTGTGTCACTGGATAATTTACCATAAACTGTTAATAACTTTATTGGAAGCTGATAGAAAAAGTAATGTACATTAATGACTGTGTATTCCTGTATTTCATTAACAGAGGATATCCGGAGTTTCATTTACAATAAAACAATTTATTTATTGAGACAAATGCATAAAACAAGCGCTGAAGATGTTTTAATATCTAACTAGCAGAAGTCAAGATGAAGTTTAACTGCATTTCAAGGAATGGAAATTTCTGACAAAAATATTTGTTCGCTATATCCAGGGACGTTAAATAAAAGCGTGCAACAAACTTGACATGTAAAGTATTGTCAAAACACTGCAAGGATCATGATACCCAAGCAGTCCTTTCGGTTTGGAGGCGGTGGTGACGGAGCTGGCGTCGATCCGGTCTCGCCTGGTCTCCGGATGAGGTCAGTTGAAACTCCGCCTCCCGCTCCTGTGTGGTGTGGCTGAGAGTCAAGCCAAGGATGTTGGAAGACACAAAGAGGGAAGTGCCGACATACCGGCGGACGCTTCGACCAACGCCACGTTTTTTGCCTGATAAATACCACCTGCTAATGAAGAACAGGTCGGCCATTCACTATCACAGGTGAGCCGAATACAGCTTTAGGTGATAAGGTTGCAATGCTTTTGTAACAGCGTGGAAAAATAAGTTAGCTTCATTAGCACTGCTCGTGTCATTAGCGGGCTACTCATGGAAATGGAAAAGTAGTTAACCGTGACATCACAAATCGCCACCATAGTCTGGCAAACTAAATAAACTAACTGCACATTTTTTCCCCAGAAAGCAATTATTAATTCAACTTTGTCCGTTTAAATAATTACTTTACGTTCCACCACCTTATGTCCAATTAAAGCATTGCTTGTTATCCTTGTTCTAAACGACACAATTTATTCTTGTTTTCTCCTTTCGAGTGTTATCACAGATGTCATGTGGAGAGACACTTCATTTGTGTTACAGCTCCTCCATTTGTTATCCAAACTATGCGGGAGGCAACATTTAAACACGGCCACGTGACCTAGAAGCTAGTAGACACTAGTTTCATGTCCATTTACCCTCGTTTTGTTTGTTGCTCAATGTTTCCCCACCCTTTGACCAATTTACATTTGAAAAATCTCACGTCACATAACCACCAAGAAGTATGAATACAGAAAAAAGACTGACCTCGTCTTAATTCATTTTCAAATAAACACGTAATTGGAAGATCAAGTTTGAGTTCATTATTTAGCAGGAAAAGCTTTATTAACTGTAATGTCCCACAATAATGAAAATAGCGTAATACAACTGCGACAGCCTAAGTATAAAAAAAAACAAAAAAAAAACGCAACACTCCATCGTGACTTAAATGACAAAGGCATAATGATGACATGTCAAAGATACAATACAATACAATACATGCTGATTTACATAGCGCTTTCACAACAGCCGCAGCTGTAACAAAGCGCTTAACAAAACAGGTAACATAAAGTAAAATAATAAACACAACACATAACATAAAACACGGACAGTCGTGCAGTCCTAACCACTTTTCCGGGATGCACCCTTTTAAGATTCTTAATATTCTTAAACGACACCATCACAATAGCTACTAACCCAATAGGAAAACATGCTACCTTAACTTTCACAATAAATGCATTGAATGGGAAACTGTTAACTTTATGTAACTATCACTCAATATGCTTCTCCTTGTAACGGGCCTTATTGTTGAGGCTGATCCTTCTATTAGACATTTAAAAGAAAACCACAAAAAGCTATAGAAAAAGCAGTCTATAATGAATCATGTGAAGCTCATATCAGGTGAGGTACACTGAATTCTAATGCAATTGGCTGTTTGCATCATCTTATGCTACATTCAGAGGGAAGACAAAATGTCTCTTGGCCCGGTGTGCCTTGCATGAGTTTGATTGTGGTATACGAATGTGGCTGCCTTATTCACACCATGCCACAACAGAGACAGAAAACAAAACAAAACCATCCATCCATCAACTAATGCCAAATACTGTTGCTATCTTGGTTCACAGATACACAGCTGTAAACATTAAAATACACTTGTCAAATAAGCCACCGTTCCTGCTCATTTTCCAATTCTCCAGTCCTGCTCCATTTTGGCTCAGTTCCAGCCGGGGTATCGGAAGTGGGCTGTGCTGTTCATCTAACCAGTGCCTACAGACCGCAATGATTATCATGTGATACATTAACGCCTTTTTTGGGGTGTGTGTGTGAGTGAGTGAGTGAGTGAGTGAGAGAGAGAGAGAGAGAGAGAGAGAGAGAGAGAGAGAGAGAGAGAGAGACGAAAGTACAATCTCAATGCAGATTGGCTGTCGTGACTCGATGTGCGTCTTTCGGTTTAAATTCACTGACTTGAGCGAATGTGCTCTTCCCCCATTCCGCAAACTTGTCAGTCATTCCGCCCACCATGGATTCCTATCCATCCGCACAAACTGTATTGACTTTATATGTCATCGGATCGTGAGAATAGTTCAACTCACATTTGGTCTGAGCATAATATAACACTGCGAGGTTTTGTGCAATTTACACACTTTTTTTCCCTGAAAATTCAACATTTTAAAAGCTCGGTTGTGTCTTGTAGTTTGAACCGGCCTCACAGACCTCAGATATACTCTTCAAAATAAATTCTACACCCAGTCACTCAGTTTAGAATGGTGTATCATAAATTACTGAAACATGTAACTAATCTGATACTTTTAATTTACTTTTGGGATGTTGGGAATGGTAAATATCACAAGGCTACTCTTAGCCAAAGAGCATCAACAACACACTGATGGGTTTGATTGACCTCAGACATTCCACTGTATGACTTCTGTCTACATCTAGTCTGACCCACTATGACTGCCCAGTCAAGACATGTAGAGTGTAAATCACACCTTCAACATTCTCAAATTAAGACAGGAAGTTATGTAGCACGAACATAGCCATTCAAAGGCTTTAGAAGCCATGGAAATCTGAACTTGGCAAGCGCTCTGCTGCGCTTCTTCTGTTGGCAGGGAAACTATTCCTGGGTCGCGCTGGTCGTGCTTCGGTAGCAGTATTGAAGACAACAGTGCTCAATGCTCAAAAAGAAGCAACGTTTCGATACAGCTAATATACACATGAATCCTTAAACAACAATAAACACCCAGGATTTTTTTTCCAAGTTGGGATACTCTAATTGTGTTGTTTCCTTCATATGTTGAGAAGCTCCTGGATGAAAAACAAGTCTTCTGCTTTGCTTAATACTCCCTTGCCTGTGTGCAGGTTCAGGCATGCCAACGCTTGTGGGAATGGTGCACTGAAATGAATTTGCACTGCCCTCCGGCGTAGTTAAGTAGAATCTGGAGTATTTCCATACTTCTATAGCGAAACAAAACCAGTGGCTTCTGGCTTTTTAATTGTTGGCATTATTGTGTGGTAATGTCAGTCAAAGAACAAAAAAAAAAATGTTTTGAGTCATTCATATCTGGAGATTTGTCTGTTTGGATGTGAAGAGTGACAGGGTCGATTTGATTGTTTGAAACACGACAAAACGTCACCCATGCCCACAGTTTTCGATGTATTCTGCTTGCACTCCTGCTGGCCTAATAATTGCGTTCTCTGTCATGGTCACGTGATGCCAACTGACCAGTGCTGACATTTTAGCCACATTTTAAAAGACTCAGTGTGAAATTTATCAGGAGGCCGGCTGTTGTTTCACTAACAAGTGACTGACTGTCTTAAAAAGGTCTTGTCCAAGCACAGTATTCCCTTTCTTGGGACACTCTGCCAGCTGGTCCCATACTGCAGTGTCCTCTCACACAGGATATGAAATGGTAGGAAAATTTCATAACGTGATTGTACTAAGTGACCAAAATGATTACTATTATCTGTATTATCACAATATTGTTAAACATAGCAAAGCAGAAATGGGTTGTTCTCAGAAAACGTGGTCTTAGGAGTGTGATGTGAGCCCAAAACTGAACTTAAAAAATATACCTGTTTAAAATGATATACGCTTTAAATCAAACCTTCCTGTTGTGTGCTATGAATTAATAAAGATGTTTCATTCAGCTCTTTGTTAGCAGGAGATCATTGATTGTGGTGGTCTGCTCTGCTGTTGAGTATCGGTACGGTTGTTACGTGGACACAAAACACTGAGCTTTCAAGGACCAAATTATTTTTAACCGAATTATTTTTACACTTGAACAGCTTCACTACCATCATAAAAAGTTATTCGATTGATAAACTGGTGCAAATGATCAATTCTGCGTGGAACATTAACCCCTTAATGGTGAACAAATGGAAACAATGGCTGTCAAAACCAGTGGCTTCTGGCTTTTTAATTGTTGGCATTATTGTGTGGTAATGTCAGTCAAAGAACAAAAAAAAAATGTTTTGAGTCATTCATATCTGGAGATTTGTCTGTTTGGATGTGAAGAGTGACAGAGTCGATTTGATTGTTTGAAACACTACAAAACGTCACCCATGCCCACAGTTTTCGATGTATTCTGCTTGCACTCCTGCTGGCCTAATAATTGCGTTCTCTGTCATGGTCACGTGATGCCAACTGACCAGTGCTGACATTTTAGCCACATTTAAAAGACTCAGTGTGAAATTTATCAGGAGGCCGGCTGTTGTTTCACTAACAAGTGACTGACTGTCTTAAAAAGGTCTTGTCCAAGCACAGTATTCCCTTTCTTGGGACACTCTGCCAGCTGGTCCCATACTGCAGTGTCCTCTCACACAGGATATGAAATGGTAGGAAAATTTCATAACGTGATTGTACTAAGTGACCAAAATGATTACTATTATCTGTATTATCACAATATTGTTAAACATAGCAAAGCAGAAATGGGTTGTTCTCAGAAAACGTGGTCTTAGGAGTGTGATGTGAGCCCAAAACTGAACTTAAAAAATATACCTGTTTAAAATGATATACGCTTTAAATCAAACCTTCCTGTTGTGTGCTATGAATTAATAAAGATGTTTCATTCAGCTCTTTGTTAGCAGGAGATCATTGATTGTGGTGGTCTGCTCTGCTGTTGAGTATCGGTACGGTTGTTACGTGGACACAAAACACTGAGCTTTCAAGGACCAAATTATTTTTAACCGAATTATTTTTACACTTGAACAGCTTCACTACCATCATAAAAAGTTATTCGATTGATAAACTGGTGCAAATGATCAATTCTGCGTGGAACATTAACCCCTTAATGGTGAACAAATGGAAACAATGGCTGTCATGTACGGTCGTTGCGTTCGATGATCGTGGTTGAGACCATCAACTGATTACTTTTTGCTTCGCAAAATAGGCAAATGCTGAGCTGCACCCTTTTCAAATCCTGCTGTCTCACCCTCAAGATTCCACAAAAAATAGTGTTTGCAAGTAATATGAAAAGATGTATCCAATAAAACCACACACGATGCGTAATCTACTCGGTTGTTACGGAATAAACAAAAAACATAATTCAACACGTTAACATAATATTTTAAAGTGAAACAATTGAACATCAGGTTTTAGTTTTTTAAATAATTCCAGTGGATAATATTACGACTTTTATTGACCATTGCAGGTACCTCGTGGACTCAAAATGAAACTACCGTAGCGGAATTTTTTTCTGTCAACGTATCGTCACATCATGGACAGCGTGGAACTCGATTAAACGGTATTGTGTTGTAATTTCTTTCTTTCTTTCTTGCTAACAACTGTCTTTGAAACCAATATGTTTTAAGGGTATAAAGGGCTGTTATTTACATGGTGGTAGTCAGCATGTCACGATGGGGGAGAAGTGGTGGCGGTTATACGGTAATTTACTGCTCAAAATACAGTCACACACAAACAACAGCATACATTTCCGTACAAGGTTGTTTATTTTATCTCTGCATTATACAAGCAAGATTAGAATCAGTGAAATCTGGAAAAAATATGCCCCTGGCAATTTTTGAGCTTAGTTGAGATTTTTCTCTTGCAAATATTGAGACATACATGGATCAAACATCAAATGGCACTGACTGGATTTACAGTGACTAGTAGTAGTTTCACATTGTTAATGCCTCCTACTTGTTTGACAAGGTCTCTGATGGAAAGTGATGACTATTATAAGAAGTAGTGATGAGGATCAGTTCCTCATTGAGCTGACGACAAGGCTTAAATGGCCGTTTCTGGTGAGGTTAAATAAAGGAATGAGGATGGTTTCTCGTGCAGAACGTGAATTACCAGAATATATTTGAGAATCATCTTTGGTAAACGCTAGTGATGATCACGTACAGAAGAGTGTGTCAATAAGGCAGTGTTACAGGAGGAAGGATGTTGTGCAATGACGTTGATTATCACACGGTCGCATACAGCATACCCACATCAGAAGTGCTAGTTTGTAGCCTGTGAAATGATGTCTCGCTAGGTCCATCATAGTTATTGCGATGTACCATGGAAGCTCCAATGTCTTCAAATTTGTCATAATTTCAAAACTGTTTCCCCACAAAAAATACATGTAAACCGAACATTAATTCTTGGCTCCCTACAGAAAGCTTCAACTATACGGGCAATCATTGTGCAAGTATAAAGAAAAGTTAACCACTGTGTTGACCACTATACAGAATCAAAAAATGTTTATTGTATGGAAGTAAGTCAAATAAAAATAAAATATACTTGTTAAAAGTAATTTGTACTCAATTGTGAAACTCATACATGTGTATAATATTATACATAAATATTTTAGGCACATATACTTTATATATATATATATATATATATATATATATATATATATATATATATATATATGAGACCTCCTGATTGCAGATTTTAACCTACTGTGGGTGGGTCTGGAACATATTCCCCGCAGTAAAGGCAACTGTACATCACTGCCAGCTGACTCATATATATGACCTCCTGATTTCATCTGCAATAGAAAAAAATGCTTTTGTCTAGAGGTGTCAAAATGAATTGATTACCAGTTATCAAAAACGAGCCACCAGCTCACCTGCTTCCTCAATAAGTACAAATAGTGCATAAGATGGATGCATGGATGGATATACGCTCTTTGGATAGAAATACCGTACTGTGCAGTATTGGAAGATAAGGCCACCGTCTCACACACACATTAAGTGGAAATCATCCCTGATTAAAGTTCATTCCTGATTCTTCCTGAACTGCTGTCATTGTATTGCATTTCGGCCCGCATGTCAACATGCATCTTGGCAACGGTGGAAGTTGCAGTTCAGTAAAACTGAGGAACTGAGCCGAAATGCACAAAGATGTGGAGGCGCCTCGTGTCGTTTCTCAACCTTGAGTCAGAGTGTGAAACATGCCAAAAATACACTGTGGGTGAAAATGTGGATGTCTTCAAAGCAGCCATGTGTGATACCTTCTATCCATTTAGTTTTTCTTATCCATGTAATACCTTCAGATATTCTTACTATAAAATTGTGAAAAATAACACCTCTTCTGCCAGCCAGGTGTTTTAGCACTCTGTTTTCCACACAGATATTGTTATCTATGAAATGATAAGGCCGCATTTTGCCTACCGATTTCTAATAGGCACGCTTGTTCAGCCTTGCCTTTAGTCAAGTGGGGGCTGGCTGTTACTTAAAGAAGCATGCATTAGTAACAGCTGTGAATGAAATGAGCACAGCACAGGCCACGTTGTGAAGGTGTTTGGACGAACCATCTGGGCATTTGGTGGAAAGGCGACTTTCCAGGTCACATGGTTAGAAATTGATGATGCCAATGACATGTGACTGTTTGGAATCTATGATCTCAGTTCGTGGGTGGCTGACTTCTCTCCCCCGTGCAACAGAGCCCTCCATTGATATCATGCACCAAGCTCTGTATGTCGTTTATAAGACAGTTCTGGCTGGAAAATATGCCTGATAAAATGTCTACGTCTGCAGAATCCTTGTCCACTCACTTTTCAGGACACCCCCTAATTATAAAAGAGCTTGAGCGATTCTGGACTGACTAATAGTACACACCCCTGAAAAAATATTCAATTTAACAAATTGTGACAGACGGTTTTAGCCCAACACCAATCTCTCTCAGGCAGTAGAACAATTAATTTCCATTCAACAAATACAATTTACCTTTTTGCTTAGTAAAGTAGTCATCATTCATGATAACAGAGTAAATGTGTAGTCTAATTACATTTCATTAGTTTAAACATGATGATGATAATTTAAAAAAAATGGTTGAACAAAAAAGTATTACAATTTTGTCTTTTATCTTTGCTTCTTTTATGTTTCTGTGTTTTTGCTATTAATTTTGTTTTGTTTTTTGTGATATATTTTTAAATTTGTAGTTGCATTTAATTTTTTTGTTTAGATGTTTTTTGGTTTGTGTTTGTGATTACCTTAATTGTGTTTTATTATTTTTGTAATTACCATTTCAAGGTGCTCCGCTCACACCTAAATATGTACATTTTCTAATTAGAACATCATTTTTTTGTAAACTGATCTCTTAATTGTCACAAAAACAGATTCTCATCGTTCGCTATCATTTGAGAGGAGGGAGATTATAGACAGTGGTCTACAATACTACTCTCCACCACTTGAGTGCTTTGTCCATTAGTATAGCTATTTCATTATCTAAGTGGTTGGGTGGATGTGTATGCTCCTCCATCTGCTCTTCTAAAAGGAAATGAATTACGATTTTAGCTCAAGCTTGAAATGTTTGTCTACTTGAAGTGGATACAATTGAAACATAACCACAAGTGTCATTAAAAATGAAAATAGGTGGTGGGCGTGCGCAATCAACGAAACAATGTTGGTTCGTCTAGAAGAAACTCGGCTATTGATTGAGCTGGTGTCAACTTTCCGCTCTGCTGCTATCACTCGTGACATACACACACACACACACACACACACACACACACACACACACACACACACACACACACACACACACACACACAACAACAATGTTAAAGCTGTCCAGGCCATAATGACATAATGGATGAGCTTGGGACACTCTAAGGTGACTTCTATACTTAACTCTGATTACTGCCGAAGTACTCGGTGTCTTGCTTTGAGATATTTTGAACATACTGACATTCGCTAACTACTTGTTCCTCTCTTGACTGTCACTGTGACTTTGGTCAAGACTGAAGATGGAAAGTACTGTCAAGTGTGGCCATAATTCCCTGCCTATGAGCGGACAAATTATAATATGAATCAATTCATGTGCAGGGTATTCACACCTTCAGCAGGATTCCCATGAGTGCATGCCTCATCTCCATTTGGCACATTTGACTGTCTTTTCTTAAAAAACTATGTCATCACAGTCGCATTGAAATATTTTCCATTGGCTTTTGGTAATTTTAGAAGCAGGAAATGCAGAGGAAGCGGGATGTGGATCCCTAACCAGCTGGCGAACACTTCATTGATCTCATCTGCTGTCACCACAACTACAGATGCTCTATCAGTTGCATTTTTTTTTACAAGCTGATATCTGTTCATTGGATACAAATAGACAGTTTGTAATTAGTTGCCTAATTGAGCTGTTGTTTATTGTTTATTTGTTCCACTGGCAAATTAGATCAATCATGCACATATGCAGTTATTTCCAGCCCTGTTAAAGCTAACCCAATAAACCAGTGATGGACGGAGTGGAACACAGCTTGTGGCAGCAGGGTATTTTTGAAATTGAATATTTAATTGAATCCCATTCCTAAAATAGAAACCAAGCATAAACACTGATACTTTTGAGTAAATTGCAGCTTTAACCATGATGATGCTGCTTTTCGGGTGGCTGTTGATCACTCATGTGCGATGTTATTATTCTGTTTGTGAAAGCAAGTTTTTTTAAGAGCCCCCTTGCAGGTTGCCTAAAAAGTTAAGTTGGCATCCCTTTTTGGAGGGGGGTGGTCAACCCAGAGGAGAGCCAATGACTGCTGCTGTGCATGTCTGCGTACATTAAAATGGCATTATTTGCTTTGAGAGCCATCATTTGGTTATGGGCGTCTGAGAAAGACAGAGAGAGAGAGAGATGTCTGAATTCGAGACTAATGGAAATGAAATTTTATGGCTTTGCTTTTCCATTATCTTTTGAATTGCTTGATGACAAGTCTGTTTTTTCGTGTGGGTTTCTTACACATTCTTACACAACAGTGGGCATTTATATGTGAAATTCTATTAATTTTAGCTGTTATTTTAGAGGCCACAGGAGTTTGTAGACCTAATGAGTTCATTCATAGTCATTTATTTGCCCAAGACTTGACCAAAGTACAGTAGTGGCTTTTCAAAATTTTTCTCTCCTGCAGAACATTGTCAGGATGCCTTCTCACGAGGGGGAAGAGCCACCGCCTAATGTAAAGCAGTCTGACAGTCGCCTAAAGAGCAAGAAACCACCCACTCTTGTCATAGCAATACCTAAACCTGAAGAGATAATGTCCCATGACCCCACTAAACAGGTAGGTTGACCACTTCTCCCTCAAACACTTCTTCACCGCCCAGCCTTTTATGCACAGCTAATATTTTTTGAAGGGTTTCCATGATTTTCACCTTTAATATGACAGCATAATTGCTGTTCATGTGAAATGTGCATTTTATAAATTCCAGGGGATGCTGCCCCTTGACAGTTCTATACATATGTATTAGGACTCCCAGGGACGTTGTCTGAAATTATCACATCCTCACCAGAGCAAACTTTGAATGAATCAGTTTTTATTGCTCATTCATTTTCTTTGTGGTGCGAAACACTATATTTGTGTTCTTTCGTGGACTGTTAAGCGTACGATTTAATCTTCACGCATAGGAACGTTTTACCTCATCACACCTCTGCAAGACCATTTTATTGTAATCTCTGTGCTAGTAATACAGGACAGAGATCATTTTAGTGAGAATAAAAAGAAGAATTGTGTATTTTTGAAAAGGTATACCACATTCAAGTATGTTCATCTCTTAATCTCATGATCGAGAGAGGGGCATGTTGGGCAGCTGTCCTTCAAGTTTCTAGGCGGGAGGCCGAAACTTTCCCCCCTGTAGTCCCGTTGCTCTCAATACAAACATGTCATTTCAGTATTCCTGAGTAGAAGGTAAACTGTTTTATACCAAGTGGCCCCTCTTAAAGTGTTCCTGAAGCTCAGTTACTGTGGAAACCATGCATACATTTGTCACCAAGAATCAACCAAGCAACCGTGCTGTCGCATTACTTAAAAAAAGGGCAGGGAAGTGTAACTTGGAAAGGCCGTGCTCCGTAGTGGACTTAAGGTCGTAAATTAGTTGAGTGGTATTATTCTTAAATTCATTCGATATTTATTGTACTCTCCCCATTTTAAAATACAGTTTTAATAAAATGTTTTACATGTGCACAACACAAGACTAATACAACTAGAGTATCTTCTCAGCCTGATAAATTTGTTCGTTTAATCCACTGACACAAATACATACCAAACACACTGTAAATTTGAACATGTATGCATGCATAGTAGCCCACATTTCACTGTTAAAAAATATTCCATTGTAAAATTGGCTCCTGTAATGTTTGTGCTAAAAGTGTGTGCGTTCATTAATAATCGGTTATTAGCTAAATAATACAAATTAACATTTGCTGGATTGTGAGATTGTTTTAACTACTGAGTGCCAATTAATTGCTGTTCTATGAACAGTTACTTTTATTTTCATGTGGATTCTTTATTTTTTTCCCCGTCAACTTACTTTTAGCCCACTTCTAGCCCCATTAACTTTGCAGTCGGAAAAAGTCCATGATTCTCACCACCTAAATGACTCACTTCATGGTATGGTTGTAAACTCACTCCTCCTCAGTGGACTGCATCGCTTTCTATCGATTGCAATTGTAACTGACTTGTTAAACATGTAAATGATATAGATGACTTTTACAAATATTCATAGGCCTGTTCAGCCCAGGTTTGTGGATGCTCAAGCACCCCTAAAGTTAATCCAAGCATTCCCCAAATTTGAGAGATTTTAAGAATGATTTAAATGATGATGATTATTATTATTATTTTTTAAATACACTCGAACAACTATATAAAATGTATTGCCTTTGTTTCGGGCCGGGACAGCCCCTTCGACCGTCTGTGAAGAAGAATATGAGTGGCCAAGGAACCAGTTCTGTGTCAGAGAGCATCAGCGGAGGTGCAGATGGAGGCTTGTCAGCCTCTGAGAGAAGGGAAAGGTTTGGAAGACAGACCTCACTCTCACAAAGTATTCGCAAGTAAGATCATATTGTTTGTTTCTTCACCATTTCAATCTCTGACCTGTCTGATGGACTCTGACAGGTAAAGATTTGTCCGCCATCTTTTCTCTGTACCTGCAGGAATACAGCCCAGTGGTTTGGGGTAGGAGAAGACTGTGAGACCAAGCAACAGGTTTGGCAGAGGAAGAGCCTGCGCCACTGCAGCCAACGGTATGGCAAGCTCAAGCCACAATTCAGAGAGCCCGACACAGCCACAAGCATCGAGCAGAGCCTGGAATCACCAGCCCCATCCAAGATGCCTAAGGTACTCTGTTGTCAGTAAGACATGTAAATATAACTTATACTGATCAAGACTACAAGTTAACTGTGGCAAACATGGATCACCTGAGTCAATATATTAATATTGTTTTGCCTTCTGTTGATCATCTTCCTCGAGAAAGTCAACAATACCTGTCTCTCATCTCTTCCTCCTATTTGCTAGATTGTGGACCCCCTGGCACGAGGACGAGCGTTCCGTTACCCAGAGGACATAGACATTCGCTCCCCCAAGGTTCCCATCACACCTGGGGTCACCTCACTCAGCTCCTTTACTAGCCAGCGCTCTGGGTACAGTCGCTTCCCCAAACGTAAAAGGGAGTCCGTCGCTCGCATGAGCATCCGTGCTGCAAATAACCTGCTGAGGGTGCGTACCACACTACAAAGTGTCTGTGTGTGTGCGTGTGCGTATGTGTGGGTGTGGGTGGTTGGGGGCGGGGGGTGTTGCGCTCGCGCCGTTGTGGTCCAACTGCATTAGTAGTCACAGAGTTGACTTACGTATTTGATGCATTTCAATCCCATACACTTACATTTAAAATAGTTGAGTCAAATCAGTCAGGCTGGTGTACAAAGGTCAAATGAGACAGTCATAATAATATATAATAATGTAATACATTTTCCTAATTCTACAGCTCACATTCACTATGTCATTATATTCGAGAAAATATTAGTAAGAACAGTTTATCAGAAGATGAAGCGTCTTCATAATGATGACATTGATGACTAAAATGATATTGCACGTGTGTGTGTGTGTGTGTGGGGGGGGGGGGTGTTTTCCCCACTCAGGGCCGAAGCGGCTTAGCGGGTTCTCTTACAGGTCGCAGCTTTCCTAGGAGGAGCTTTGTTAGGCCCAGCTGGCTGGACGATGAAACTGTGGACTCGGCAGACATGTCTGAGTCACTCTTTTTTAGCAAGGTCAGCCCCAACACTGAATAAATGCTCAGTCATTACCACCATTTTAGTTTTATTTCTTTCTTTCTTTATTTTGCTGCAAACGTATGCAAAATGTTTACCTTTTCTCCTCTCTGGACAATAAAAAAATCATTTTGACAGGGAGAATAAATGGCTTCTCACATGGAAGCTCTTCATGTATAATTCGATAACAATACCCCTTGCTGAGTAAACTGTATTATCGCAACTAATTAATTATTCAGATGCTTGAACTATAACTGATTTAAAAATAGAAGTTAGTCTGTTGAAATTAGGGATGGCCCGATCACATTTTTTGCACCCAAGTCCAAGTCACTTGATTTTGAGTATCTGCCGATACCGAGTCCCAACAAATACCTCCACAATGCAATGGAAAGCAGTGCAATAAAGAATAACAAGACCACATAAAAATAGTCTCAATTATCTTATTTTTTTATCCTCAGATGATACCTTTTTATATGGTGGTAATTTAGCAGTGGTTCAAACCAAGTTAAGAACTAAAAAAAGACTATATAATGTAATATTTAAAATTTTAAAATGGAATCTTTTTCACCCATTACCAATCAGCTGAAAGTCATGGGATCGGCTCCAATTTTCGATCATGTCAATCTGAATCGGGACAACCCTAATTAAAATGACTAACATTTGGACAAAATTGTTATTAGAAGTATGAAGGATTTGTCCCTTTTATTCAGGATTTTGTTAGTCACATACCACTTTTTGTAGGTCGATGTCCACGATGAGTTGTACTCTATGACTGATGATGTATTTGAGTCTCCACCAATTTCTGCTGCTTTTGCCCCAAGTGAGCAACCAGACCAGAAATTCTCAAGCCTGTGAGTAAAACCACAATAATCCCATAATTTTAGAAAGAACATAATTTATTTTTTTTAAATTGGGAATGACAAACTGCCTCAAAACATGATGCTGTTACTTCACTGTAGACGGTGCTGCTTTGGTGATGAGTAGGGTTATGTTTACATGGGGGTTGACATTAACTATGGCCCATAGCCACTATGCAGGTGTGTTGAACCACGACCTAACTTCAGATGTTGGACTGACTGGGCCACAACAAATTTCTACATAATGGCCACCGAAAATGGCCCTAAAGTGTGATATACCTAATCCTTACATCCATTGTGTATTGTATGCATCAATGTCACGTTTGTTTCTGGCTTTAAATCCTATTTGGTCTTTCCTCTCGCCACCACCTCCACTCCCAGTAAGGATGTATCTCGGACACCCCGCACACCAACAGCAATGCAGGAGAAAAGTCATCCTCGACGTGGCCGTCGCATCGCTTCCCAAGTTAAGCACTTTGCTTTTGACAACAAAAAGCGTCACTATGGAATGGGTGTTGTGGGCAAATGGCTCAACCGGCACTACCGACGCAGCCTCAGCAGTACCATCCAAAAGCAGCTGGATGACTTCCACAGCCATAGGTTTGGAATGAATGCTTACTTCATATAAAGTACGGTAACAATAATTGGCATGCAGAGACCCGACTTGCAAAGAAAATGCAATTGAACAAGGTCACTGTAGTATTGGATGGTACAATGCATTTTAAATAGACATGTTTAACTGAAAATGTTTTTCATTTTATTAGTCATTTGTGTTTTCAGGCCTTACTTTACCTACTGGATCACCTTTGTCCATATTGTAATCACGTTGCTGTCCTGTTGTACTTATGGTTTTGCCCCTGTGGGGTTTGCACAGCATTCTAAAACCGACCTAGTAAGTGGACACTCAAATATGTTTTTCTTTTCACAACTGACGAGGGTCACGTGTTTAGTGTACCTTGTCTCGTCTGCTGCATTCACGTTGTCTGGTGTTATTCATGCAGCCCTCTATCGCCCTCTGTAGGTGCTGAAGAACAAAGGCATCTATGAAAGTGTCAAGTACATCCAACAGCAGAACTTTTGGATAGGTCCAAGATCTGTAAGCGTCAGTCTATGTGCTGGATATTACTGATCCCGAGTGAAGCCCCACTCACAATGTGAAAGTCATTTCCTCTCTTCTCAGGACGACCTGATTCATTTAGGAGCCAAGTTCTCTCCATGTATTCGTCAGGACAGACAAATAGTCCATCTTATCCAGAAGGCCAAAGATCTGGAGAAAGAGTCTGGATGTTGTGTTCAGAATGACAACTCTGGATGTGTGCAGACTCTCAACTCTGACTGCTCTGTAAGTTGTTCACATTCACCATCTGCGTAAAATACCTTTATTGGCTGCAAATATGCCAGCGTGCACTGAACTAATTCTGGCACGTGTATATTTAATCTTTAAGAATGTAATCCATTTACAAAACTAATCATTCACAACATGCCCTTTCAAAATATGCCACTGAATGGTTTCAATTATTAGTTTTGTAACATTCTTTCATGAAGTCTGTGCACTGCGTGACAATTATCTTGTGAGCGCTATATAAATCAGGATGTATTGTATTGTATTTTTGTGTTGGATCCTAAAACAAACTGTTTCTACAGGAGACACTTGCCACCTTTATCAAATGGAACAATGAGCTTGTGGACATCATCAGATCCTCTGGCTCCGTCTGCCACCAGGATCCCAGGTGAGCATACACCTGTGCTTGTGTCCAGATCGCATTACTAGTCCAGTGTATCATATTAACCTACACAACTGTCTAAATGAGCTTGTTAGATTGGACTGTATCTTTTCAAATCTTTTCTCTGCCTCACTCTGCTGCGTACTGTGAAGAGTATGTGAAGAGCCTGCATCTGCAGAGCCTCACACATGGCCAGATGACATCACCCAGTGGCCCGTGAGGAAAATCTAATAATTTGGAGAAATTAGTTTACTTGTTCAAAATCATGCACACTTTTAACGTATTTTGGGGCCATCCGTGGTTGTGTGCATGTGTCCAGGTGTGTACATATCCCAAAAAGTGGAACCATACTGGCTACAGACACATGGACTGTAACATCAAGGGTCGACCTTGCTGCATAGGAACGAAGGGCAGGTGAGATGTTGGCACATCTGATGTACCCTTTGACTGACCCTCAATGCCTGCTGGTATCATTAGGAGATGAGATGCTTGTCAAACTGCAATTATTTTTTAACCCTCCTGTAGGTGTGAGATTACAACCAGGGAGTATTGCACTTTCATGCATGGCTACTTCCACGAGGATGCCACACTGTGCTCACAGGTAGCGTGAGTAAGTGAGTGAGTCAGTGTGCACAATTTACATTTTGAGTCATGTACCAATTTTCTGCAGGTCCATTGTCTGGATGATGTTTGTGGCTTGCTTCCTTTCCTGAACCCTGATGTACCTGATCAGTTCTACCGTTTCTGGTTGTCCCTTTTCCTCCATGCTGGGTATGCGCTTTTTATATACTGTGTGTGTGTGTGTGTGTGTGTGTGTGTGTGTGTGTGTGTGTGTGTGTGTGTGTGTGTGTGAAGTCAAAAATTAGCTTTTTTTGTCATGTTGCTACAAAATCAGGTAATCCACATAAATCTTTACAACTCCTTGATTGCAAACAGTAAACTTTCACATTTCTCAAACAGTGTTAAAGCCTCTTAGCGAAATAAATCAGCATCCTTCAGCATTATAACCTGAAGCAATATTTTTAAATTTCCCATATGCCTTAAACTGGTCATTGGCATGATTCTTAACTACTCATAATTCTTAGCATGTGAAGAATCCCTGTGTTTTACTTTTAAGAAGAGTCATATAGCTTAATTAAAAAGGAATTGCTGGATATGCAATGCATTAATGAATTCATCAAGACACAGAAATGTATATGTACTTTGGTGTATCTAGCTGCACTGTCCTCAGATTAATATTTGTATGTGCTTAGGTTACTACACTGCGTGGTATCAGTAGTGTTTCAGATGACCATATTGCGAGACCTGGAGAAGCTGGCTGGTTGGGTGCGCATCTCCATCATTTACATCTTTAGTGGTATCACTGGAAACCTTGCCTCTGCCCTCTTCCTGCCCTACAGAGCTGAGGTAGGTTTCTCTCCGTTGAGTGAATGCATGCAGAAATAGATCCAACTTGTGATGATTGATTTGTATTATTCCTTGACCTGCTTCAGCATTTCAAATATATTATTTCGTGTTGCCCATTCAGATTATGTAATCATTTAAATATAAGATAGTCTTTCTAAATGTGGAGCTATGTACGCTGTATATTTGTATAGTGCAGGGATGGGTAACTAACGATGGAGCGGGTGGCAATTTTTCATCAGTGCAACTGGGGGTTCACATAGGACCGCACACTTCCTAGCCAGATGTATAAGAAAATGCCATTTTAAGTAAGAACAAAATAGGTGCTTATGTCTTCTCTTTCATTTTATTTTTATTCATTAATTTTTTTTAACAAATGTGCTGAGCACTTCCTAACTGTCACGGTTTTGCTATGGGTAGGACCCAAGTGCAGGAAAGTGGAAAGGCATGACAGGAGGTTCTTAAAAATAAGATGAGTCACAAATCATAACATGTTGATGTGTGATCGCACAACAGTATTTTGTTTTTTCTGGCACTGACTGGTGGAACCATTGCTTCATATCCGCTGTTGTTGTCTGGTGTTTTTCCTGGTGTTCCTACTCGCTGGTTTAACGTGGCTTAGGTCACTTACTGGAGAAGGGTTCCCACTCTGAGGATTATGAAAGCAAATTTAACCTTCCATCTACTCAAGTGACTTCAAGATATACATACCGGTATTGCAAATCATTTTATACCAGGGGCTCACATGAGCGTTCAAATCACAATCATTCACGCTATAAGATCCCAGTATGTATCTAACCTTGTCACCTTGCACTGAAAACGAAATATACTTCTTTGTGTTTGTTGACATACAATATTTTACTGCATGACCAGTACACCTTTAATGTATAACAAAACATATTATATACACATTTAATCAATTTATTGGATATGCCTGAAAGTTGACAGATTGCATGTGCTTATCACGCGCAGCCTACATAGAGAAATGATAAACGACAGTTTGATAACTGCTGCAACCTGTTGATCTGAAAGCTGTGTGTGTGGAAAAGAGCACGTTCAAGATTACCTACTTTTTATTGGCACGGCTGTTTTCTTCTGTGTTTGTGTACATGTGTGTGTGTGTTTGTGTGTCTGCAAAAGGCCACTTTCTCCCTTTTCGGGATTAGTCTAATACCATTCTGTGCCCAAACAATGCCATTACTAAGTGGGATAATTCACTGTTCTAAGCCGAGACAGTTGTTGCATAGCCGGTTATGGTACTATTTCTTACTTTCTTGTGCATACAGCTGTGGCATTTTGGAACTGCCCCACGTTGGAAACTTTCTATGGGAACCAATTAGAACCAGAGCAGGCATGAATCACCTGTCATGTATTTTTGCTCCATCACATTCCATTATTGCGAGCCCTGTTTTCCTCAGCATGTTGTTGTGACATGATGAAGTTGGGATTGTGACGTGCCTCGATGTAAGAGTCAGAAATCCCACTGTCCAATTCTCCTAGAAACTAACCAGCTCACTGGTCTTCACACACCAGGAATACTCGCCGGATGCACAGCACACGACAGTAAATCCACTTAAGGAGGTGGTTTAAGTGGATTACACCTAAACTGTGGTGATAAGACCCTGTGGTTCTAGCAGAAATGGCTTGAATAACAACTTGGTAGATACCATTAACATTCATGCATGTTGCAAATTTTGAGAAAGTTTCCATCGACCTCAGGTAGAGAAAGTGAGAGTCTGAGGCCATGCTTTACCCCAATTAGAGTTTTGGATAATGGATGGATGGATGGACATTGCAGCCTCATAATAAAATCTCTTCTAAAAATTTGATTTCAGCAAATGACAAGTGACCATCTTGTGCTTTTGGAACATGTCAGCCTTGCCATCTGGGCCGTGCGGGTGACGTGCTGTGCATCGTTCTTGTGTCTGTTTGTCCAAGTTGGTTTTCTTCACAGATTAGCCATCTGCCATTTTACAACCAGGCAAGACTCCAAAATCAGCCCTGACGTCATTTACACTTAATCCTCTCACCTATACGACGTGTTCTCCGTGCCGCGGTACCAAACCCCGAGATAGTCTGTGTGATGGCCGACCCATGCACATGAACAGTGAAGTCATGAAGAAACTGTTCTCGATGCTGCACTTCTGTTTAAAAAATGCATGATATCATGAACATGGAGTTACTCATCAGTTTCTAATCCCATGATCAGTATTTTTTTTTTTTTATGAAATCATGTTTACCCTCAGGATTAGGTCCTCCTAATGATGTTCACCATGAGTCAAGTTGGATGAAAGTGGACATCCTGTGTGCTGTAACTGTCTGAAAATACACTTAAATTTCTGTACATATTTTGAGCTACTCAAAAGTTGTATTGTCCCATTTCAGACAATTTTATTTTCATATCATGATACTAAAACTCCTCATTTCAGTAAATTAGGAATTATTGTTCCAATAGGAGTGTTCAAAGTACTTTGAATTAATCTTTGTTCCCCATTCACACGTTAATGTGAATGGGGAACAATTGTGTTAAGTTTGATGTTATAGTGATCGGACTTGCTACATACTTCAGTATGGCACCCCAGGGCAAAGAACTGTCTGACAATTTGAAAAATATAGTTGTTGCTCAACGTCACAGGTGTCCTACTGAAAGCCAAGGGACCACATCTGGCCCACCAAATTATTTTATGTGGGCCGTGAAAGCAAATAATTCGCACCAAATTCACAGATTCTTGTTAAAATCTGGACTCAAATTTAAACATACTTCCAAGATGACCACAGCCTTGTTAAAGAAGCTGAGTGTAAAGGTGATATGCACTGGCCAAACCTATTTCAGACCTAAATCCTATTCAGCATTTTTTTTTTTTTTTTGTGGCATTCTGAAATAGCCATCATTGATTGCTGTGACGTCATCATAGATGAGTGGAAGAGGATTCCATGGCAAGCTGAAAAGCTCTGGTGAACCGGATGCCAACAGAGGTTGAGGCATTGCTGGAAAATAATGGTCCCCACACATATTGACAATTTGGACATCTTCACTGAAAGGGTTTTCTGACTTTTTAACGGCTGTGTGTTGAGGGACCTAACATGTCTGTTTTTGGACTGAGGAAGCTGAGGTACGGTACCCAAAGAAAACATGCCCCAACGTTGAGAAAAACATGCAAAGTTAATGCAGAAAGCTTGAAGCCAGATCCAGGTTTGAGTGTTCACGATGCTGTTTTCTTGTGATGTGAGCAAGACCTAGATGGATGATGTCTAAGTCTGTTCTCTGTGTTTCTCCAGGTGGGTCCAGCAGGATCTCAGTTCGGCCTTCTGGCGTGCCTGTTTGTTGAGCTCTTTCAAGGTTGGCAGATGTTGGAGAAACCATGGAAAGCTTTTTTAAAACTTTTGGGCATTGTTTTTTTCCTCTTCTTGTGCGGTCTTTTGCCCTGGATTGACAACATAGCCCATATTTTTGGCTTCCTCAGTGGCATGCTGCTCTCTTTTGCCTTTTTGCCCTACGTCACATTTGGAACGTTTGACAAGTACCGCAAACGCGTCCTCATTGTTGTTTCACTGTTGGCCTACATTGGCCTGTTCTCTTCACTCATTGTTTGGTTTTATATTTATCCCATTAACTGGCACTGGCTGGAGCATCTCACATGCCTGCCCTTCACGAGCAAATTCTGTGAAAAGTACGACATTGATCACGATATTAATCATGTGGTGCACTAGCCATGAGCTTGCTGATGGCCTCTGTGACCAAGCTAACCAGTGATAATCCAGGTTTTCTAAGTGTCCTTCAAATCTTTGGCAATCGTGACTTGTTATGGTCGGTTTATTATCGAAGGTACCCAGCAGAGTCTGATGATTCACACACTTCCATAAAAGTTTGGATCCACCACTATTTACTTGCTGCTGATCCAATGGCTCTTGCGATCCTGTGGACTCAGGACCTCAATGCAAAAAGCTGGATGAAACCAAAGAAGCTTCACAGGTTTTGTTCAGCATTTAATGGGGCTTACCAGAAGAGCTGGTCCAGCAGAAATGGGGGCCACCATAATCAGGCTAGGTGAACTGGATGCCTCGCATAACAAAGTGACACTGGGTCAAACACTCTGGACAAATCTGCTGTTTTAATGGGTTTCTTATGTTTCTTCATGGAGAGGTCCCTTTGGCATGCCAATAGTCTTGGAAAAATTACATTGCTTAGGTTAACACAAGTAAATGCAGTGAAAGTGAAACAGTGGTGGACTGAGGTAAATGTGCTAAACCCCTTGTTGCCTTACATTCGCTGCCATTCACCTGTAGTTTGTTATGAAAGGTTAGCATCAATGTCATATATACGGTATGCCGGTGTGTGTGACACACACACACACACACACACACACACACACACACACACACACACACACACACACACACAAGCGACCAAAATAGGACGATTACAGTTGTCATTATCTGTAAATCCAGCCCCGAACAGTCCCAAATGGCAATGTGTCAGTTTTAGTGATACAGTTGGCTTCGTTTTTGCTATTCCGCCTAAAAATCCTCTGAATGTTTATTGTGAGCGGTACTCTTACATGAGTCTGAGCACAGCCGTCAGGGAAACTGCTATGAGCGGTCGTGCTGAGGGACGAGTGGGCTCAAGTGAGTTCTGAGATTTATCAGTTGACATCACAAGAAATCATGAGATATATACACATGTAATGACTTATTGAACATGTTTTTTTGTATTACTCTGAACACAGTTTTAACAGCAACTAACAACTTTTCAAAAGCCCTTTGTTTTCAGCCCCAAAACTGCCCTTTGTGTATGAAGGTGGCTGACAATCATATTAGCCTCTGTAATGTGCTTTTTTTTTTAACTTGAAATCATGTGAATGTTTTTACTGAAACCCTGAAAACTGTCATGACTTCATAGCAGCTAAACACTGGGACCAAATGACTTCTTAGGTGAGAAACAAAAAAGGCAACAAGAACATTTTGTCATCAAAGCTCTACTTTTTCTTTAAATTGATTTGAAAATCAATAAATGTTAATGCAATCATGATAAAAATAAATTACACTTTTGATAAGGTGTGTTATGAAATGTACTGTATGTAAAACCTGTTTTATTTAATGTTGCACACGTTTGTAATTGAAACTAAATACTTTATCAATTCTTGATTATGTACCTATGATAAACTGATGAATTTCCAGAAATGTTCCATACCCGAAAACATTTTTGACAACATGCAGAGAAGGTCGTTTTTCAAAACACGATAACACTGACAAACTCAAAAATATAGCTTTTATTATCTTAATGAAACATTTACAATAGTCACACATTTGTCTTGATTCAAGACTTCAGGAGGCACCGATGATGAATATCTTCAATGGAGAAGGCAAGATGCTTTTACAGATATGTAAGTTCTACTTGGATCATATTGATTATCATGCTCCTTTCTATAAGCTTTAATTGTTTTTTTTTTTTTTTTAATCTCAATTGGCCAGCATCTTCATAGACTTGTGGGCTGCATTTCTCAGGTAAACTAAATTGACAAAAGTATTGGGACATCTGTCCACTATACCTACTAGACTGATAGTAATGTCCAGCATTTATCAAAATGCAACATGAAAACATTAAAATGACAAACAAAATATAAAACCTTTCTAATATTTTCCCAATGAGTGCATTCTTTTAACCTTGGATTTCTTTCAAATGTTTTTTTTTTCCTTTTTAACTCGCTTAGTTGGCAAACGCTTTATTCCTCGTCAAAGGCACAGTGAGTTCGTCACCTTGCTCTAGCTCAAAGAGATGATCACTGAGCCTGACGTCCACTCCAACTGTTTCTTTCCCAACCAGGGGCCCGCCCCTGGCATCCATCCTGAGAAATACCAAGTCAAGTCTCAAGTCCCAAGTGTCAATATCCACTGTTGCGCCGCATGAAGGCATGACCTCTGACCGGGTAGAACATTTCAATGAAGGTGAGCGGCCCCACTGTGATCTCACTGGGGCCCTGCACCTTGAAGCCGGACTTCTGGTAGAAGGGAACCAGGAAGTCTTCGCACATGAGCACAGCCCGCCGAACGTACGGCAAACAGCGGAGGTACTGCAGGTAGCGCCACATCAGGATGGAACCTTTCCCCTGTTGACGGAACGTGCGGTGGACAGCCAGGACGTGGATGTGGACCGTCATGCCGTGCGGCTTGTGGAGGGTTAGCGCATCCTGGAAAGACAACCACACGTCAATTGGGAATGGGATTGTGAACATAATAATAATCTGTCTAATAAATGTTTCATATATTTTCAGTTTTTTAATTTAATTACTGAAATAAAATTACTTTTTTAAAGTGTCACAATTTATAGACATGCCCATGCACAATACGACGAGTAAACAAGTGATTTGGACAGATCTCGTACCATGTTAAGTCTCTCCCGGTCCCACAGTGAGCCGATGATGAAAGCCACCAGACGTCCCTCCTCGAACCAGCCCAGTGACAACTCGGGACACAGCGTGAGGAAATGACGTACCTCATCCAGCAGGAGAGGACATTCCCCCGATACGGAGATGAATGCTGTGTGTGTGAAAACGTAAACAAATTATGGCAAATCGTCATTATAAACTATGTCCAAACCTTTCCCACTCAGGGCCATATGGCCCCACAGATAAATGGAAGGAAGAGAAGGAACCCACTTCACCTTGTGAATCTAATAAACCCAATTCAGGTAAACATACATATGCCCAGCATTGAAACATCCATCCATTCTTTTTCTATATGACTTATCCTATTAGTGTTGCAGGTCAGCAGAAGCCAAGGCCAGTTAATTTTGGGTGACAGGCGGGCAATACCCTGGACCCAAGACACGTAAACAAAAAAAAAACCACTCACATAAACAGAAAGCAATTTTGAGTCTTCGGGGAACCTAAGAAGCATACTGCATGTAAATATGTGAGGTGAGAAAGAAACATGTAACCTGAATGGCCAATGACAAAAAAAGTTATCATTATTAATATAGTATCTAAATAATAATAATGGATTTCGTAACATTTGAAGGAAAGTGTGTGACAGCTTGGAATAAAATAATGACATTTTTCATCAACTTTACGGTAAGAAATCTCTTTTAAAATAGCCCAGTCTTAAGATTCAGCATATTTGACATGCTTATTTAGAATTTTGATAACTAGTATGAAAGCTTTCAACATTTCAACGTTTCTCAGTAACTGGGCCTATTAGAATATGGAAGCAGGCCACAAATGGCCCCAAGTCGCACTTTGGACACCTGTGTTAAAAGCAAGCTGAACGTTATTCGGTTACCTTCTCTCTCGATCTCAAACACGCTGATGGCGTCCTCCGGGCTGAGGGAGCGAAACTCGCTGGCGGGCAAAGTGTGTCGACGTCCCTGCGACACTGGAGAGCGCATGTGGAGCGGCTTCGGGAACGACAGGGAGCTCACGACTGACATGCTTTCAAAACAACTTTCAAGAAGGTCCTACAATTGAACAATTTCTCGTGGGAACGAAACACTGATTGTCTGATTTTATTTCCCCGCTCTCCTCCGATGGCCCCGCTGGCTTCGAGCGTAAAGACGACTAGCTTCGCTCACCACCAGCTTTTATATCCTCCGCGCGGCGCACCTTAGACCCGCGTGGTAATCCTCAACTCGCCAGCTGGATAAGCAAACCTTTCCAACACGTGAGTGAGCTGAAGCTGAACAATAATCATATTGAGACGGGGTCAGGAGGGGTGTTTTCGTTTTTTTTGTTGGTTGTGACTTATCCAGGATAAGTTGGTGGTATGACGAGGATATACGTTCTCCTCGTCATACCGCCGATGTGAGCAGTGAGCACTGCATCACATTTGGATTTGGCGCCACATGTCAACAACAACATGTGAAGGGACTTTCATGGAAAGCCCTTGGAGCATTGCCATACTCACTGCATTGCATTGTCCCTATATTAGTATGCTATTTGACCTGGAGCAAGACAATTCAGCACACTTTTGAGTTGTTTCTTTAATTATTTTTATTTGGTCATTCACAATAAACCCATTATACGGTTATAAGATAAATAAAACTAGTGAATACATTTATTTAACAGATAAATTAATACAAAAATAATTAAGCAATAAATACCTTATTAATAAAAACTTATTTTGTGCCAGTATCACTTGAGGTTGAAAAAAATAATATCGGTCTAAAATAAGAAGTCGTGAGAAAAATGACGATTTCATATGAAAACTCAAAAACTACCTTAAAACAAACTTGAAAACAACAACAAAGTATGGATACTTCGTTACGTCCCAACACTGCCCACGGGACAGATTTGCCGAGAATTTGTGTATGCAAAACAATCAATTGACTGACATCTATCGGCGAAAAACGGCACTCCGCGATGACGCTCTCCCGTTACGCACGTTACGCAGTTTGCGCGTAGCTACGTAAACGCGTACGTCTCATGCTTCAAAGGTTGCACTTTTTTTCACCGCACAGTGTCGTCCTCGCGGTCCAGCATCACTCCCTGACAACAGCAGCGATGGCGGAGCCCACAGCACACGATTCGATGGACGCTGCCCAGCCTCCATCCTCGACCCCGGGCCTTTCCCCCGCGGCCAGCCCGGGCTCCGAGCCGCTATCCGTGGCCCTGTCTCCCACGGCGGACGGCTCTCAGCGGCTGCTCTTCTCCCACGACTTGGTCTCCAGGAAGTATAGAGGATCTGTCCGGTTTGGCCTCGTACGGATGATCCACGGCGAGGAGGAATTCAACTCCGACTCGGACCTTGATGATGGTGGAGGGAGAGACGGCGGCGGCGGAGGAGGAGGAGGAGGAGGAGGAGGAAAAGGCGGTGGAGGTGGACGAGTCCCGTGTGACATACACAGTCGGCCTCTGGGTCGCGGATTTGTCCGTGTCCTATGGTACCCTGATGGAGGGAAGCAAGACATCGGGGAGACACAGGTAGCACATCACAGCTAATGTGTAAACATTTGACCCTTGACGGGTTTCTTTGTCTGACACGCTTCTACAAAGTGGCCGCGTTTGGTCGTGGGCAAGTCTTCGTGTGGACTTATTTTTTTCACTCGTTGCGTCTTATTCATCTGCTTCAACGCCTATCCTCGATGGCTAACTAGTTAGCATGCGAAGCAGACAAGCTAGCTAGCAGCATAGCTCCTCACCCTAAGTTGCTGAGCTGGTGCTGTTGTGAAAAACCTCCAGAATCAAGTATACCACAGACTGGAAAAGGGTATGAATTAATTGCCAACTCAGTAAAGAAAGAGAATTGCCTCAACTTGGCTTTGATGGATGTAAACATTTTGTGTGGGACTCAACCTGTGCTTAAAGATGACCTGCTCCCAGACCTTGTTTGGCATTTCTGTGTTTTCAGTGGTCACGTAGAACATTCCTTTCTGCATGTATGTCACATTGCTTTCATGTAGAACTATTGTCAAAGCATGTGGTCCTAAAACAAGAATTGATCTGGAAAGAGCACACAGAGGCTTGTGTCAGTCTGTCAGAGAGATGAGACTGGCCTAGAAGAAGTCCATTTCAGTCATTGTCTCACTTTGTCCCTTTGAGTTGCCTGTGTGCCTTTTAAGCCTGTGTGATGTGTCATGGCCTGTTGTTAATCTGCCTTCGTTAAATCTCACAATTACAATACAATGATTATACTGCATGATATAGACTGTCCATTTTGAAAACGATTTCCCCAAGTAACTACACCCAGAAGTGGCATAAACTTAGCACCTTCACAGAAAAACAAGGATTTTCAGAGCTCAGATCAGCAACAGTGGGCAACCTTTAATTGCAAATTCTAGACGAAAAAATAGTCCTGTGGATCATTTCCTTGTGGCACTCTGTTTCATGAGCTGTCTACACCAGCGATTGCTTTTTGTCCACTGTTGCAATCTGTTATTTTGTTAAGATGGTGTGTCATCCATCTTAAAAGGAGATTGTATTCAGTAATGACTGAAAATAAACATAGTTGCCGTGATCTGTACTACAGAGTTGAAGCAATATTCATCCCAGTCCATGGTATGGATAGCTGGGGGACTGCTGATCAGAATCATTCATGAAAAGTATCTTGTTCATGAGCTGTCTACACCAGCGATTGCTTTTTGTCCACTGTTGCAATCTGTTATTTTGTTAAGATGGTGTGTCATCCATCTTAAAAGGAGATTGTATTCAGTAATGACTGAAAATAAACATAGTTGCCGTGATCTGTACTACAGAGTTGAAGCAATATTCGTCCCAGTCCATGGTATGGATAGCTGGGGGACTGCTGATCAGAATCATTCATGAAAAGTATCTTGCAAGGGATGTACTGATGTCAAACTAGAGAACCTAAAATAATAATACAAATAATTAAAAAAAAAAAAAAAAAACTTTGGTGAAGAAAAATTGAAGTTGATAATTTCCGAACCTTAGACTTGGAGAAGTCATTTGGAATGCAACTCGAAATGCATATTTTTACAGAACAGACTGATGTGTGCTTAGTTCACCAAGAAAGAATATTTTGACAGTGTCTGCGGAGAGTTCTCTACTAATATTGATGTGTTTTATATTGAACACAATGATGCCTCAGACAATTAACTGAGTTATGGGGCCTTCTATTCTAGTTAATTTATCCTTTTTTTTTTTTTTTTTATCCTCCCAGCCGGG